TGTAAATTTTGTGCCAAATTGGGTTTGACTAACCAAATTCTTTTGTCAAAAACAAAACATTTTTCTCTAATTCAGTGTAGTATGCTGAATGAGAAAAATGCGTTTTGAAGATAACGTTCAACCTATAAAGCCGCTGAAGCAATTCTTTATAATAACGGCCTCAGAAATTGTGAGGCGCACTCTTTGAATCTTCGTAACTGTGACAAAGAAATAATTTTTTTCTTTATAAGAGTAATTTATACGAACGCAAATACAAATAAAGTAAAACGTATGGAAAGACAACGAAGAGCGAAAAGAGACTTTCTCCTGGTCAGAAATCTTTATTAGCTTTCCCTGATTTACGCACGTATCCATACACGCGTCGTGATCTTTATAAATCGTGAACTAAAACTGGAATAGCCATTTCAATATTTAACATTTTTATATACAAACATTGGTGCGTTTGTATCTGTATTAAGTATAAATGCCTCATCGTTCTTAAAACATTAACTTTGGGAATGGAAAATTAACTCCGGAAACTCGCAGTGACAACAATTATTCAGTTATGAATATATACAAAAAAGTCGATATTACTCGATTTTTTGATAATTACTGAAAGTATATAGACAAGGCTGAAGAGAAAATATTTTATAATCACGTGAGAGAATACAGTTACACTTGCCAATGAAACATTAATTATTTATAATTAAATTTAATAACAGTTTAATAATTGCAAAACTGTAATTTTTTCACAAAAATAACTTTTTAGATTTTTATATTTTAAAAGCCTTTCTAGGAAGTTTTCTACAAGAAAATTACGGAATTTAATTTTTACAGCAAATCTTATTTTAGGACAGAAAGGAAGTCCCTTAAAATCCTTTTATTGAAGATAAAGCAAAACTTTATGCCAAATATGATTTCAATCTGATGAATTTATAGATTTAACATTGCTGCTGAATTTGTCACTCTTAAAATAAGACCCTCTTTTGTGCTTTTTTTTGCTACTATTAAAAAATTCGATTTTCATTTCTAAGGAGCAGAATTTTATGAATGAATAAATTGTTCATGCGATAAGTGAATTAGGAATAATAAATTTTTAAATACCTATCAATATTTTACAGAATCAATAGTGAAATTAGTGTTTTCCAATTCGATTTTCGATTTCGAATGGTATCTGTGTTTTTTTCTTTAAAAAATAAAAAGAAAAAAAACAGAAAACATGTTCATGGAGCCATTGAAATTCAGTACAAGTCCCCGTACTCCGCGAAAGTGCAACCAAGGTCTTGGTACACCTTTTCACATACATAAATGCGTATAATGCATGTAGGTTCGTGGTTCCACATTAATTTCATTAATGTCGAACAAGAGAAGTAGCAGACGCCCGTTATAAATGTTTAATTGCCCTTTTTTTAATAACAATAATCCAAACTTTTAATTTTTCAGATTGTACACTTGTCAAATTTTTAAAAAAATCCGAACCTAACACAGTAACTATTCTATAAAATAAATAGGCCAACTTAATCACTATTTTCGTTCAACAAAATTCCTGGTTTGTTTTAATTGTAAATTTATTTATTAATTTTAACATTTTCCTAATTTTGATTCGTTTTTCGTCTCAATTTGATATCCTTAGAGAAACTGTGAATTTATTATTAATAAAATATTTAATATTCCATAAGGCAATTATTAAAATAAATAAAAGTTCCCGATTCCAATGGAAATTACAACACACGTTACAACTGACTTTATGATTTCCTTGTTAGTTTAATTGTATAATTACAAACGAAATAAAAAATACATTATTCTTATTAGAAATAACAACTCAACGTAATCTTCATTATTCTTTTATAGAAATGTTAAAAATAAAACATAAATTGTGGAGGCCGGAAGAATATAGGCGATTTTAAATAAAGATAAAGATAAAATTAACGATAAAATAAAAATTTTCTTTTTTATCATCAAATTTAAAATAAAGTTAAATAATAATAGAAAAGAAATAAAAATTTGTTTTAATATTGTTTAAATTTGTTTTTAAATACTTTTATGATTAATGAAGTCTAAAGATTCTGGTTAGAAAGTTGAAAATTGAATTTTATTAATGTGTGCGTTTAAAATTGATTTAATCAATTACGATGATGACCTGCGATTTTTGACCGGTAGTATACATCAAACTTTTACATCCTGATGGATGCTGAACATTCTCAATATCATTCACGATTCAAGTTCCGCATTCATAATAAGGTTTATACACACACGAGAAATTAATATTCCTCACGACGCGTGTCCGTTGCAAACCTTTTTTGTACTCGCATCGAAGGTTACGCTATAAAGTCACAAAGGATAGGCCATTGACTGATCACCAAGTCTCGACGGCAGTCGAACATATTATTATTAAAAAAAACACATCACAATTACAACAAAACTGCTTTAAATCTCTTTTCGATACAATGTAAGAGAATTGGTCGGATGTTCAAATCAACCGGGGAATAAAAGTTTGAACAAGAAAAGGAATCTAAGAAATAAAAATGAAAAAAAGAGAAGAAGAAATGTTTCGAAAAGTCAACTTAGAACTTGAACCCATCATCAGAGTTTGCGGGAAGCAAAAAATTGTTCCTCTCTGAAAAGAGAGAAAGCGTCTGTCTTCTTTGTGATACTAATCTCAAAGCATCACGTTTCCTGGTCGTCATAAGACTGGAATTATAATTACCCAGTCTTCATTTTGATAATTAAGGAAAAACATCCAACTAATGTTGGAGAAAAGAAATTGTTTCATTCTCCCGATAAATAGGTTAATGTAAATTTAATACTCCATTAGCATAATATAAGAACGAAATCAATTTCATTTGCACAATTAAACTATCAACTGGTGGCGAATAAAAATTCCATCAAAATGTTAAATGAACATCTTGACACCATGAACAATTGAACATCTATACCATGTAAGTTTGTGTGTAAAATAAAAGTCTTTTGTTATTTATTCAGTGGGTAGTGAATATACACACATGAACCACTACTATGCATACATAGTATATTTCTTCGTATTTCGACGACTGCAGGATATGCATAATTTAACCACAAATTCTACCATCATGTGTATACAAAGAAAACAAAAGTTTGCTACATAACTTCTCTATTTTTGCAAGTTTCTCTCCCATTATATACACGAAATAAATTTTTTTTTTGTATGATAATTTATCGGGTTTGTCCTGTTGAAACTTTTAAAAATAGTTCCATACTAATCCATACTAAATTTTGTCAATATAGGAGAACGTGATAAATTTTTTAAATTAGCATTTCTGTGTAAAAAAAAACAGATCGAAGCAAAAATCGCAATTTTTTTACAAATCTGTTACTGATGTATGAAGGCGAAAAAATAATTTTCATTACATTTTCATTACATTTTATATTAAGGCAGCATCAGAAAAACAATCGGATCAAGAGTTTATTTTCTATTTTAAATGGGAAACAAATTAAATATTCAAATTGAGACAAAAAACGAATCAAAAGTGTTGCGATGCAACACTTTTGATTCGTTTTTTGTCTCAATTTGAAATCCTTAAAAAACTGCAGTTAAAAATCATAGTTATAGCTGACAATCAGTAACTGATTTTTTACTTCTGAATCAGTTAAAAATTATTCGACTATTATCAACTAAATATTTACTTGAATCAAATAATATTTATTGGTGTCAATTAAATGCTATTTGAATCAATAACTTTAATATTTAAAGAAAATACAATTTAAAGGTGGCATTTAATTAAAAGACAATTTAATTGTAAATAAATATTACTCTAATAAATATTATTTCATTTAATTAAATATTTAATTGATAATAATCAAGTAATTGGTTATTTGCATCAAATAAAACTTTTTTTTCAATGTGTTTAAGTAATTTTTTAATGTACTTTTGAATGTTATTTTTTGCAAAAGAAATCTTGTGTTAAGACAAGCTTGACACTAATTTAGTCTTGAAAACAAGCAGCACTGAAACTTTAATTATCAATTTTTGATTAATTTTACAAAACCAGTTTCAAGAAAAATTATGAATTGCGAAGGACATGACACTCTTCTTAACGTAACTTTTATTATAATTAAAATGACTGAGTGCTGACGAAGCGCAAAGTTGTAATTTTGTCGTAGACAGCAAAATAAAGTAAATCACGAAAGTAACTTTTTCAGAGCAAAACAACATCAACTGCAACATATTTCTTAAATTCGTTTTCTTCAAAAAAATGATTCAACCAGATTTCAATTTTAATTTCCAAAAAGTACAAATTTTTTAAGAGTTAAAAAAAATTCTAAAAAAATTTTACTTTTATTTAAGATCTTAAGAATGGTTGTAACCAAGGTTTTAAATTTAAAACTAGATTAAGTTCATTTTAGGACTTAAAATCATGTTCTAAAGGCATTTTCATTCAAAAATGGTTCTGATGTAAACGGTTTTACTTTTTACAGTAGTGTAAAATAAATGATTTAACCAAAAATAAGATTTTCTTTTTACGATGTACTCAGGGAAAATTTAGATCTAAATTAAATGCCCTATTTTGTTGTATAAACCTAATTTTTAGGATACTTTAAACAAAGTTTGTATAAACCTAAATTTTAGGCTATTTTAGCCAAAGTTTGTTTGACCTAAATAAATATTCATTCCTTTGATTCACCTTAATAAATTTTGCACTCGAAAAAAGAATTTCTTTATCAGAAAAGAGACTTTTAGTTATGAACCAAATTTCCTAGCAACCAATTTTCAACCAATTTGATACAAAATGCATTGCCAATGCCTTTATTTTGGATGATTCAACCAAAATTTGATTGCCCCAAAACAATTTTTTTTCCTACCAAAGACCAGACATCAGAATAACCAAAAAAACACCCAATTTCCAAAAAACTAAAACCGAATTATTACAATAAGTGTTAATTAACAATTCATGGTGTTAAGGTTTTTGATGGTAAGCCTGGTGGGGTGTCCCTTCGTAACCATGGTGGGTGGCGGTATAAGTAGACGGCAGCGTCTACCAACGTTCTCATATACACTCACCACGTCCTTCGACTCTACCTCTACCTTACTTTTACTTTTTACGACTTTCGATCGCGATCGAAACACATCTTCCTTGTGTGTCTGTGACTTTTTTTCATCTCCTCTTTTATTATCAATAAGAAAACAAACTAGAAAAAAAAACGGATAAATCAAAAGTGAAGAAAAGCGCGAGGACAAAATGAAGTCAATTGTGGCCAATAATTAGTGCTTAAAGAAAAGTGAATTAAAAATCGTTTGTGATCGGGGAAAAAAAAATTTGTGAATTTCAAAGTCTCTCCTTTCTCTTTCTTCTTTGCCAGACGTGAACGAGAGAGTGAGAGAGGATAATTCTCCAGGAATATCAGAAAGCGGGATTCATATAGAGATCCGCATCCACCAAAGGATCGCGAGAGCGTAGAAGAGAGAAAGAGGAAAGTGTATAGTGCAGACATGTGGTTGAAGAGCGCGCTTTTGTAAGTTTTTATATTTTTTACAAACTACTTTTAATTAATCACGCCGGAAAGTTAATCTCTTTCTGCATTAACTTCTCTTTTGAGAATATTTTTTTACCTTTTGAACTTCTTTTGACTCTGACCTCTTTTGGCACTAACTTCTTTTTAAAATTCTTTTGACTCTAACTTCTTTTGCCACTAATTTCTTTTTACAATTCTTTTGACACTAATTTCTTTTGACACAACTTCTTTTTAAAATAACTTCTTTTGGTACTAACTTCTCTTCACAGTAACTTCTATTTACATCAACTTTTTTTTTATATTAATTTCTTTTTTCTATACTTTTTCTTCTTTTATTTTCACTTCTTCCTTGTAAAAATACAACTTCTAAATACCACTTTTGCCACATGAATTATTGTCCGCAAAATGCGTCCCTCTATAGTTAACAAAAACATTACTTTAATAATAACTAGTTAATTTTCACGTAATAAGCAAACGTCTAGACTCGCGGCAGAATTTTATTAAACCTTTGGAAGAGTCATAAATTTGTGCGCGAATATATACAATACACGTTACACAAGTCCAAAAATTTTAAGTTAAACAAAAGATAAAATTAAAAGGAAATTTATTATATCCAGTAACACGCAACCGTTTTAGATTTCTCTGTTTAACGATTTTACTGGTTCACATGGAGAAAATCGATTAACGTAAAGATATAACGATAAAAATGTTACACGTACTTTTTGCTCATAAACGAAGTGAATTTTTACTTGTAAAAGTCGAAAGTAATAATAAATATATAGTTCTACTTTGTGAAAAAGTCAAGAAATATATGCGCGCGAGAGATTCGTTAGCCGTATATATCATATTTAAAAACGGATAATCTAATTATTAATTAGTTTTCGAAAAACCATTTATTCTACTCATCAACAATAATTTAATTCCCAGTTTCGAACGTCCAAATGAAGTACATTTTTTAAGTTTCAAATATTTTAAAAAATAATGTAAATTTATTTCTTACTTTTTGTAGTACAAAATTCATTCAATATAAAAAGCAATTTTATTTTTAACGAATATTAATTGACAGAAGTAATAAATTTGAACGTTTGGAACATTATAATTACCAAGTATGGGGAGTATGATAAAGATAACCATAACTAAAAAGAATCAGATTAGATAGATTTTTCTCATTCTACAAGAAACAAAACCAAAAATCGAAAATTGTCGCAAATTTCTCAATATAAACCCGGAAGTGAACTACATTCACATTGATTTGCAATCATATATACTAATTCAAGATTTGAGAGATTAAAATTTAAATACCTGCTGAAACATAAAAGTGAAACTAATAGATTGGAATTTTGAAATGAAGTCTGGAAATAAAATCAAAGTATCCATATAAATATCCAAGAATTGAGACGAATTTTCACAAATTTCGAATTTAGAGAGTGATAAATAAATTTGAAGAGCAAAGTACAATAAAAGTGAAATTTGTTGATTTAAATGTTTCGAGAGATTAAAAAGCGAAATGATTTCAAATCCACGTCCATATAATTGAGACAAAATTAGATTAAAATTTAATGTATTCGTGTTTCGCAATATGAAATAACCAAACTTAAGTCAATACTTTTTAGTTATGTCAAAATTAGAAGAAATTGGATTTCGAAAATTTCAGTTCTGCCTAAAATTGTATATTGTGTTATCATTTCAATAAATCGGTGAAAATACAGGAAAGAGACGAGTGAAAATTTCAAAGTAGAAAACTTGTACGAAAAATTCATCATCTGGTAAAAAATTGAAATTGATTCTTTTATTTCCTAATGAATACGAACTTGATGAAAATTTTCCGATTAAAGAAAAGCGAAGAGAGGATGAAGCAAGGAACCAATGAAAACTTTCCGAATGAGAAATTCACAAGGAACAAATGAAAATTTTCCGATCGAAAAATTAAAACAAGGAACAAATGAGAATTTTCCGATTAATGAAAAGCGAAGAGTGGATAAAAAAAAATAAAGAAATTTTTAAGATGTTTCACATCTTGACAAAGTGAGAGGCATATAATTACTGCTACATCAATCGCCATCAATGAAGTTAGTTCAGTCCAAGGTCGGTAAAATGTCAACATGGTGAAACGATTTCTAAAGCAAAACTGCTCTTACTTCTCGTTTTCAGGGAGGCGCTTCGAATCGAATGTCTGACTTGAAAGTAAATTATACGACCGTCTAGAATGTCAACTTTGAATGTCAACCAAAGTATAACTGCAATAGATATAAATTTTTTCAAAAAGAGGAACAGTGATTTAACCACTATAACTCACTAGGGCCTAAAGTGCTCACATTTTGAATAATCCACTCAGATACTCGATTTCTGTATACAAATTAATGTTCCCAATGTTTCGAACATTCAAAAGAAAGATTATCATTTAACTCCTTCTGTTAATTTATATTTATTTATAAAAAAACAAATTAAAACAAATTGTTATAAACAAATCAGTTTTTAAAGAAACAATTCCTGCTCCCTTAACTCGAAACGATTAGAAACGTATAAAATATCGTTCGTAACGTGGGTGAAGTTCACAACGTTTACGATCAACGATTAAATAAAATTTACATTTCTCATAAGGAAAAATAATAAACTTCTTTGGATAAAAACGCTTCTTTAAGAAACCGTTGACCAACAAAGTTTGTTAAAATTTCTTTTGTAAAGAAATTGTTATAAAATTTCTACAAATTTCTACGAATTTTTACAAATTTTATAACAAATTGCTAGGAAAAATACTTTTTCTTCTGAAATCGTTTATCATAAAAGTTATAAACTTCATCAAAGTCGTTCATCAATAGTTCAACAAGTTCTCGTGCAATATAACAATAGTGACATTTACCTGAAAACTGACCTAAAACTGACAACAAAACAACTATTTTATAGGTGAATTTTGTTTACGAATAACTCCCACAAATTTTTATTATCTATTTTTTCCCACAAATTATTTTTATGAAAAAAGATTGTATGAAAAACTCATTTGCAAAAAATTACAAGTCTAACACTCTGCAGCATCTCTTTTCCACTCTTCAATGATAATTTATTAATTCTGCTTCTCCTTTACATCCAAAATAATTAAACTATTCATAATTTATACCCATAAACAATCTCGATGAATACGAAAATATAATTGAAATTCACATCGAACAATATGATTCATTTTTTCATATGCATAAAACTGGAATTCCCATTTAACTAACCTTATTATCTTTTACAACAACAATTCATCATTCCGTTGCAATTTTACGAGAATGCCGTATGTAGAAAGAGAGGTTGTAAAGGTTACTTGGCCTGTCCGTGGGCAACAATCTTAAATAGTGCCTCATGAGTGCCTCCTTAACAATTTCGAAAAAAATTACAAATTGATCAATAAAATTCATAAAAGTGATGATTTTTCTTTGTACTCCATGCACCACCAGGGGTAATATAAAAAAATTCCCCTTTTTTTCGCCAGAATCCCCAAGGTTTTTGCGGTTACGTTCATATGTACACATGTATATTGCTTGCGTAAGACGGTCGCCTCTCGTACTGTTATAGAGATACTCGCTTATACACACACCTACATATTACTTGCAAGAATATAACTACTCGGATAAATATATGCATACAGAAACCACTTTCTCCATATGGTTTCATGCCGAGAGTATTTCATATCTAACACCCCGATAACGCCCACGGAAAACTTTCCTTCTTAATCATTCTTCGAGAGAAGTTATTATTAACAAATCGGAAGTGATCAACCGGTGCGAGCGCGAGAAAACAAAACGCAAAAGATGAACTTCACCCTGAAATCCTTTTTTTTTGCCTTGACCTACAAGATTCACACGTATGTGATATTAATTCCTGGCACCTTGAATAACGATCATCTTTTTTGCAATCCAACAATTGTTTCCAAATCAACGTTGCTTGAAAATTAAGTACAGCAGTGTCACAGCTAATAAATTATACATTATTAATATTTTTCTCCTAATTATACGTTTGATTCTAAAACGACTAAATTAGCTAAAATGGCGACAAGTATACAAGACAGTTTAATTCCGTTCGATATTTATTCAACTTTCAAAAAGGAAAATTCGATATAAATAAATTTAACTCTGTTCATGGTATGCGGTAGAGTACTAATTTATTAGTTGACTTATTTCGTCTATTGCAATAAGAGACTTATATTTTGTCTATACGCAAGCACAGATTTTTCAAATTTCTCTTAAAACATTTTGCAATTTATCTTCAGTTTCGAAATGATTGATCTTTGATTACAACACAATTGTTTCGTTTCGGTTTCAAAGCGTTGGCGGTTTCTGTGTACAATTTATGCAATGCACACAAAGAGACAGCATTTAATTTTTCCTCAATTTGTTACTTTATTACAAATAAATGTTTCCTAAACATCTCAAAACAACTTTTTTAGTGTTAATATTGTTAATTTCAATTTTAGTTAAAAAAACATATTTTTACAAACCTTTCAAACTATTTTCAGACAAACTATCGACAATTGAAGGAACAATAAATATTTTTTACTAGGAAAACAAAAGTGTTTACAAATTCTTCTTCTTTGAATTATTTATCAAGAAAGTTGTCACAATTTTCAGTTAATCAATTTCCCTGACATTTCCCTGACAATTTACTGATATTAAAATTATTTTTCCTGACGAAAATCTTTTTACAGGAAAATATAAAAGTTTGCGAATAACGAGGAAAATTTTTGAATTTTAGTAATTTCTAAAAATTATAATTATAACGTGAATTCAATTATTTTCTACAATTTTCAACTAAACCTTATTTCTAAATCGTTTCTTTTAAATAATTTATTCAAAGTTCTTCTAGAATTCAATTATTTAAATATAAAAACACAATTTTTTATAATAATTGTAACTATCCGTGTTTTTTCTCAAGTTATTAAGATAAAATATTTTTAAAAAATTATAATAAAGAAATTCTTACAATTAATTTTTTTTAAAAATATTTTTCAATTATTTTCGACATTTGCAATTAAAATTCTTAAAAAGTTGTTTTCCAAAATTCTAACAAAATACTTGGAAAAAATTAATTATTTTCAATTACATTTTAGAAAAATTCAATTAATCAAAAAGATTTTTATTATACAGATATATTTGAAAAATAAAAAAAAATGTGGAAAAAAGTGATTCAAAAATAATTTTTGAAAGATTTGTTTATAGTTATTTTTCGCACTTTAAAAATCGATATAAATTGCATTTTATATTAAAAAATGTAATATTTTGTTGCAATATTTGGAAAAAATTATAACAAATACTGAAAACTGATTGAAATGAAATTTTACTTTAAATTGTAACTTAATTTCTAGATATTTTGATAGATCATAAAGATTTTGAATGAACTTGAAATTAAGACAGTTTTATCCTAAACCATAAAATCCTGCTTCTTATATTTAAGAACACGTTTCTTGAAGTTGAGACACAAGATCTGAATTTAGCATTCATCTTTTCACATTTTTCCCCAAGTTCTGATTTCAATCAACACATAATTCCTACTTTCGAAAACTAATTTAATTTGAAATATAACACGAGATTATGTTTGCAGAAATCTGCTTCTAGAATAAAAGAAAATAAGATGAGAATAAGATAAGATAGAAATAGAAGAAAATAATGAAATAAGATGCTGTTTACGGACACAGTTTTTCTGATGATGCTGAAAAGTCCGCAACGTTTTTAAAAACGAAAAAATAATGGGACGGTATTTTTTATTCTTGATTTAAAAAAAAATTCTATGTGATTTTTCGTTTTTAAAAATGTTACGGAATTAAGCTTCATGTCTCAATTTGATATCCGCATAAAAACTGTGGGAGAAATTAGCTGATATTTTAACAATCAAAGGTCTTAATTGAAAGAAAAAAATATTTAGAGAATAAGAGCAAAAAAGCTAATTTTAGATAATCGTGGCAAATTTTTCAAACGTACATTTCGAGAGCACTTGCAAAAAGGCGGATGGTCCATTACGTCTAAAATGGATAGTCGGTGTCGTTATGGAATGCTGTAAGATGTCACGAGTTGGTGAAACGTATAGCGAGTGGATAATGCATGGATAAATATCAATATGCGAGTGGTGAAAGTTCACGCACAGCCATATACTCGTAAAAGATGTGTACTTATTCGTCGCAAGGATACGCGATTCCAGTCGCACGCAATTCCAGACAAGAATTCATATTATCGACATTAAAAAAATTTCTAAGAAATCCTACTCTTTTCTTTTCTTTTTTTCTTAAACGCGAACAGACTGCAATTATCAATATTAATGTCGTATAAATTTTCAAGACGTGAAGAAGAAATCCTATTATACCTGATTATTTCAATAATTCTTTTTCTTATTTTATTCTCTCCATTTCGAAACATTCGAGTCTAAAAATAGAACAATTTTGCATAAATGTTCTTTTTTCTTTTGCAGAATATGCTGCGCTGTGTCTACACTGGGAGATGAAAGAATCGTTGCAAAGTTAAGGCCGGCACAAACATACTCGAATATTCAATCGGAAAATATTGAAGCCGTCACTTTTCGGGACAGATCGATACCAATCGAAGGTACCAAACAAAATTGAGTATTAAAACTAAGAAAATATTTCTCAAATTCCTACAAACTATTTTTTAATTACCTACTTGAAAATAATTTCAACTTTTTTCCATCAAAATGTATGTAAACAAACTAAACTTTCGTACACTTTCGTACACTTTCATTCTTAGCGAGTGAATGGTAATGAGAACTAGAAGCTTACGTAATCAAAATTCTTTGCAATTTAATTAAACTTCCTCGAAAATTCCTTAAAAACAAATAAATTGCTTGTTTCCTTATTTTTAGGAAAGAAAAAATTTCCATATTTTTTTTTGTGATTTTATAATTACAGAATATGTAACATCGCGAAAAGCTCATATTGCAAAGTACGACGACGATTACTACGGTGGTGGTGAAGATGAAGAAATAAAAGTTGTCAAGACACAAAATAAAAAAGTGCCCGAACGACTTGAGAATTTAGAGAAAAAACAAACATCATTCAAGGAAAATGATCGAGTTATTCCTAAAAAGCAAACGCGTGTCGAGTTGGAAAATTTCAGTGGCACAGGAGTGTTGCATGAAGATGGAATCAAGAAAGTTGACTCACATCGAGCACAAGTCACTCGTCAAAGAGATTCTGTCATTCCTGGCGTTTATGTCAGGTAATACTTTTATTTATTGCTTTTTAATTTCAGTTTATTTCAAATACCTTCAAAATTACGTAAGAAAAGGAAATCGACAACTTTTACATTTCCATCAAAAAAAGAAGGAATCACTTTCACGCAAAAGAGAGAAAAAGACGCGCTTAAAAATCAAATGATGTAAACATTGTATTCTAAAATTGTTAAGATAAGTTAAGTTGTCACTTTGTTTAATGTTATTATTGTCTGTCATTATGTGAAAGCTTATGGATATTATTCCCGCAGTAGGCGAAATGTTGTAGAACCGGTTCTCCTGATAAAATGCTAAATGATTTTTTTCTCCACAAATGAAATATTTCTAGACGTGGCCAAACAAAAGTTCGCGTAAAATTCTTTTTTTAATGGGGCGAAATTCTTTAAAACAATTTTATTTTTATGACAGCAATGAATATCAGACGACAATGTTGCCCACACTGACCACACCACGGGAGGCTCGCTCCTTCGATTTTATTCCTGTGAACATTATTCGAGAGGACAGCAAAGATGCATACACTTCATATGCAGACCGTCAATTCGGCGACTTGAGTGATGTTAGCTTAGTGCCAGCAGGCACGAGTTCACGAATTCAAGTGAAAAAAGGACCGAATGGCAAGGACTATGAATATGAGTACGTCTACTACTATTACGACGAGGATGACGAGGGAAAAGCAAGTTCCGCCACAAATACTCAAGACACTTCCAGCAGGACAACACCCTCGTCGTCCAGACGTGGTGCAACAAATGTCAACAGAAGTAAATACACAAACGTGGAAAGGTCCACTACCGCCGAACCTGTTAGCAACGAAGTTATTCCAAACAGAAATAGAGGCAGACAACTTGCTGAGGCTGATGAAATTTCCGAAGAACGCCTGCCAACTAACACTAGATTCCCACCGAGGTATTTGTCAATCATGTATCCTGTTTCTAGTCAATTACATAACTGATTAATAGCCGATATCAACATTTTACTGTTAATTTAATTGCAATTTAACGTCAATCTCACTAATAGTGTAATTAATTTCATTTTAATTGCTTTACTGTTAGAACTGTTAGAACTGTTAGTTCTATAATTAGTAGTCAGGGTTTTTCGAATACGCTACTGGTGGTGTTAAATTAATAATTTCTTTATCAGATCTCGTTCGAATCACAATACGGGAACTACAGAATCGAGTCGAGTGCGGGGCAATCGACCAAGACCCAGTTTGGAACTAGTGGACTCCAGCAGTTTTCGCACCCATCAAGAGGGACCAGAATTTCCACAGAACTTACCAAAAGGACCGGTTAGATTCATTGGAGTCACTCCTAATGAAGATAACGAAGAGAAACCGTCTAAAAACCGAGCCAGACCTCATCGGGTACAAGAACCTGCTCCGGTCGAAGAATCCAATGATGATGTTCAGCCTATTTTTAGAAGACGACCTGCTTCAAGTGTCGACCACGAGGTACTTTCTTAAACTTAACTTCAATTGCGAATAACTAGATTTTTAACTTTAGATGCGAATAACGTTTGCTAATTTAACGCCTATCAATTCTAAATGACACTTTTAGTCACTAATCGAATTTTTATTTCGTCAGGCCCAAGCGGAACTTAACAGAGGTCAACCATCCAGACAAGCATCAAGTGAAGATGTCGAATCCGAAACCCCGGGAATAGTCTACCACAATTCGGGCGAAAAGAAGACTCACCTGACTGAAAAACAAGATACGGAATCCTCCGATTTGACAACTACGGACATTCCGACTACGGAGTACCCTTCGGCCATGGACAAAGTCGCTTTGGATCTTTACGCCTTCTTTCAGCAAGGTCAAAGCAATCTCGTTGAATCGAGTTCTGAATCCGATTCCACTAATGATAGTACAACCCTATCTGAAGGCGATTTTACGGAACTGATTACAACCACCGAACCTGCGACTCCTGCCGTTACGACAGAATCCACTACTACATCGACTGAACCATCGACAACCACTACCACAACTCCAGAGCCGACAACTTCGGCCACCACCACCACTGGCAGAGGCAAATTCCGTCGACCAGGCGTGCCAGGCGGTCCCATCTCCAGAAACAGGTAAAAACTATGCGACAAGTTAAATTTAACTAATACAAACATCGAAACAAAGCATTCCCATCGCTATTTCAATTTTTGAAACCCAATCAAAATAAGACTTCTTACTAACTAAAAAATAACTTCTTACTAATAAAAAAAATTACATCTTTCTAATCAAATTCTGAACTACTTTACAGATTCAAACTCAATGGCGGTGGATCAACAACAGAATCCAGCAACTCCGCTGCGGAACCAACACAAAAAGTCAGAGGAAGATTTGGCAGCAATGGCAACAGTGGATTCAAAAGACCAAGACCGGGACAAAAGCACCCAGTCGATGAAGAAGTACAGAAGGAAAATGCCGCTCCAACGAACGCAGAGAAACCAAACGGCACTCGCAACAGATTCCGAGGAACTGGCAATCGAAATATTTCCGGTACCACTCCAGGATCTGTCACCCCAGCTTCATCCTCTGGTCCAGTGGCAAATTCTCCCGCACTTCGACCGACATTCAACAAACTAAATATTAATCGCAGACGAGGCAGACCTTCCACAGCCTCCCCATCAGCCAGTGAAGAAACGTCAGAAGGAGCCGAACCCGAAACCCACGAAGCTGTCACTCCAAAGCCAAGTGCTCGACCAAAGCTACCGGGAGTTGCTCCCCGACCTGCTCGACCAGGTGCCAGAGTTAACCTAAGACCCCGACCAGGACAAGCGACAAGCACCACGGCTGCTCCCGAAGCTGCCGAGGCTTCCGTCGACGAGCCCGCTAGCGAGGGTACCGAGGAGGAAACACACGCCGTAAGTTTTAATTTTTTACTCTGATTTTAATCAAAATCCCTGACTTTTCCCGATTTCCTTGACCAATTCTGCTTTCCTGACTTTCTTCCGATTTACCTGACCTGTGACAACCCCGCTTTCAATAAAAGATCAAACAAAAAAAACAATAGAAGAAAATATCTAAACTCTTCTAATTTTTCCAGGCTCCAGCAGAATCGAGTCCACCGAATCGTTTGACGACCGTCAATCCACTAAATAAACTGCGCAACCGTAACCGACTGCAGGTACAACCGAAAACTACGACAAGATCACCAATTTCAACAACGCCTAGAAGATCGCCTCTATTACCTCGTCGAAAAACAACTGAAACTCCAGTCGAAGAGCCCGTACACGAACAGGAGAGCGAAGAAGAATCTTTCGCCGAAACAGAACCAACGGAAGTTTCAATTGCCGAAACAAGTACAGCCGCAAGCACAAAACACGAAGAAGTCAGAGGATTAAGTGGTCTTTTAGCTCCGAGAAGAAGGATAGCACCACGCCGTCCCGGTCAAATAATATCTCGAGAATAGACTTTTTCTTAATAATTCCCTTTTTTTTAATTTTATCAAAAATATCAATTTTCGTTAACTCTTAATCTTTTTTCCCAAGAATAAATGGCCTTCTGGTTTAAAATTAAAAAAAACTCACAAAAAAAAGTCTTCCAAATTACCCAAAAAAATGGATTAATAATTATTAGTGGAAAATGACTAAACGGACTTGTGCACTTTAAGCTAGTCTCTAAACAAGCGCACTTCTTAAAAATGAAAGTGCCATTAAGAAAAAAAAAAATACTCAAATCGACTGACAAAAAAAACTTGGACAGCTTTTATATTCCTACAGTGCACAAAATACCTTAAAATATAAGTCCGAGTTTATGCCCGAAAATGAATGAATTCAGATTTTAAATTGAATTTTTGTGTGATCCTATACAATTGCAGTGATTTAAATTTACAAAGTAATTAACGAACAAAAAAATCGTAATTTACCTGGTAAAAATATTTATACTGCACAACAATAGTGATGGTAATTATTATATTTAATTCGACATGACTTGTGCGTGTACTTCTTATTTAATTATCTTTTTATGTTTTATATTCTGATGTTGTATATGTACGTTTAAAGCATATAATATCGTATCTTTAATATTTGAAGAATAATGTTTTTTTTTCAAGTACGAAAAAGTTGGCAATATTAATGTGCCTTATTACGTTTGCTCCTACTTTTATAGAATAGCTTAAGCTCCAAAAATAATGTAAATATTATTATTATTATTAAATTCATGTCTAAATGACAATAATCGTACCTTCATTCTATTTTATTTGTCCTTTTGCCATCCATGTCTGTCATGTAGTCGAGAAAGTCCATATGGTACTCAAAACATTGAAAATATATTAGAATCATTCTTTCCAGATTTGAAATTTTTTATTTTCGATAAAAAATTTTAAAAACCTTTAGCAAACTGCAGCAATGAATGAAATTTTTATTTAGTGAAAAAAAATTCTAGAAAATAGAGAAAAAAGTAATTTTTCTCCAGACTCTAATAATTGTGTATTACTTATTAATTAGGACTTAATAAATATTAACTTAAAATGTGTACTTATAATCTAAGAAGAAAAATTTCTTTTCGGTCATAAAATAATTTAAAATTGGGGGAGAACCTTAATGTTTCGAGAAACGCCCTAAAAATAATGGTAAATACGAACAAATTTCGAGAAAAATTGGAAATTTGCAAATAATCCTACAAGACGAAATAAAAACGAGCGGACAAAAACCTAATTAAAAAACAATTTTTGTACGAAATTCCAAAACCTTCTTCGTACAATTTAAATAGAAATAAAATCACTATGGACTTTTTAAAATTTATTACAACTTGTCTCCAATTTATTATGGAGGCAAGAGGGACTTATCGATAGATGAATTGAAGAACTGAGGGATTCGTCTTTCTCTGCAACCATCATTCCTGTAATTCATCTTCTTCAGTTGAAAATGCACGCAAGGATTCCTTCCATAAGTTCCAAAAAATTTTCATCCTTCCTGTAATTCCTCTTCTTCAGTTGAAAATGCACGAATGGATTCCTTCCATAAGTTTCAGAAAATTTTCAGAGCACATTTTTTTAAAGTTTTATTTCCGCAACACTAAGAAAATACGAATTAGTTTTTTAAAAAATTTATACCTACTGATTAATTATTTTTTTACTTTAAAGAAAAAAAAATAACTGTGTATTTATTATTAATTCATTAATTGTTAATAAACCCGAAAATTATTTAAACCCGCACTAATTTAAAAATAAAATAAAAATTGACAAGTTCTATTTAAAAAACATTGAGTAGAATTTTTATTTTCGTGAAATTAATTTTAATAAAATTAATTATTTATTTTAAATTTATAAAATTATTGCTTATTTTATAATTAAAAAATTATTTATTTTAATCAAATAATTTATTTAATTAACTTTTATTTAATCTTTAAACGGTTATCAAGTTTTATTTTTATTTATCCAATTATAGCTCTGAAAAAACAGAAGAAAAAGAAAAATTAAATTCATAGGCAAAATAAAAAACTAGAAAAAACAAATGAATAAAATTAAAATAATTATTTACAATTATATTTTATAATATAATAATTATAGTTTATAAAATAATAATTAGAATTTATAAAATAAATTTTCCCTTTGAATAGCAATAATTTCCTAAAGATAAATTAAATTTCTATTCAGAACAGAATGAAAAGAGGGATTATTGGTTTTGTTTCCTTTGTCATCAACCTCAACTTACCCTTGACGCCGAGTCAACAAAGTCAAAGGCACAAATAAATCATTATTCGTCTGTAAACCATTGATTTAATCTTTCTTTGTCAGAAGACAAAACGAGTTATTAGAAGATGATTAACAATTAACTTTACAGGCTTATATTTGTAAACATAACACTAAACGATATTCAACTCGAATTTTCAACAAAACAATAAATTATTTTCCAAATTAGAAAATACCTTTTCGTATAATTTTGTTTATTATTATATTTATTATTTTCGTTTATTGAAACAATAAATGCGTTTGTAAATTGTTGAAGGTCGATAAACATTCAATACAAATTAAAATTTCACCCCTTACATTAGATTACAATTTCGACAAAAAAAATATAATTTCCGAATATTCCAATATATTTAGGATTCAATATTCGAAATAATAAGAAAAATTGACTTTAATTTTCTCGATAATACACATGCTGCATAAAAATATAGGAAAAAATCGCGAAAAAATAATTCGTTAAAAATTGTCGATTCAAGAGTAAATATATAACCTCAAAAATAATTTGCCCTTTTGCAATTCACAAAATGGGATAATCACAAAAAAATAATGTAGGAAATTATTAAAAATTAAACATAAAATGAAAATCAGATAGAAGTTTGGTACAAATAATATTTTTTTGATGTTAACTTACCACTAACAGACAATTTTTTGTCCCGTAGAGTATTTTGTCTATCGCTTTCGAAGAGTCCATGAGTTAATGACCAAACTTGAAGAATTTTGTAATTAATTTTCCAAAGCGGCAGAGAACTAAAACAAAGAAGAAATAAATCATCGCTTTGTTGAACAATGAACACCATTTGCAACGCGTTGCAAACAAAGAAACAAATTTATACTTGTAAAACGCATCGACTCCGCGGGCACTCCGGGCGACATGACGCCATTTTGAAAAAAAAATTTTTCGCACCTAAATTTTGCAACAATATCATAAATTCACATCAACACTACAATATGATAATATGGCTAATATTGTAGCAGGAATGTGAGAATAATGACAATATTGATGTAATATTGGCCATATTGTTGAAATTTTAGGTGCTGAAGTGAAAAAATTTGTCAAAGGACAAAATGTATTATCACACATGGCGTCAAAAATATTCAATGTTTCAAGAAAATTATCATGAAATTAGATGCTACTGTACTTTATAAACGAATTTAATCCAAATTTTGTGTAATAATAAAGTATATTTACCTATTTTTTCGAAGAAAATTGCCGTGAACGAGCGAGAGACGCCGCAGGGAAAACGGTTTAAATGCACTGAACAAGTACACAACATACCCAAGTCTTCTCCGTCTCTGATTGGCGGATGGAAAACAAAATGGCGATGCACCGGAAGTCTCGCGTTAAATTCAAAAATTATCAAATCCTGAATAAACGTGATTGGTCAGTTGTGCAAGACTTTAGGTCTGTGTATCGGGCTTTATACTTATTTAAATTATTCAAATTAATATTTTTTGAAAATAATTGTTAAAAAATAAACAAAATAAATAATAATTGTATTCTGCTAAATAAATTATTTAGAACAATAATTGTAAATTAATATATAATAAATAAAATAAATAATAAAAATAGATAAAAAAAAGTTCCATAAGTAATATTTAAATTAATTATAATTTATTTTTATCATAAATATCTGTAAAATAAATTTTATAAATAAATAAATACTATAAGCAAATATAATTTGTTATAAATTAGAATTCAATTTAGTTAAATTAAATATTATTATTTATAATTATAATAAAAATTCATTCCTTCATAATTAAAAAAATATAAAGAAGAAAAAAATAATAATAAAATTATTGTAACAATTCTATAAATTGTATTTTCTAAATATTATAATATTAAATAAATATGATTTATTATAAATTATAATTAAAAGTTAATTTAATTAAATACTATTGTATATAATTATTATTATAATAATAGTATTAATTCATAATTAAAATAAATTAAAATAAAACAATAATTTAAAAACTTATAATAATAATTATTATTAATAATAAAATGGTGCTTAAGAAAAAGATTCCCTTATATCAAAATATAATCGTTTAATCAACAATAATGTTTCATAATACAAAGACCCAGAATGCTGAAAAATCGCAAGAATAAAAATACTAGTCACTTGTATTTTCTAAGTATCATTCGTCCCATCACAGATTTTGCTCCAGTTGAATAATTTCTTCCTATTTTTTTTTCTTTTTTTTTGCAATATTCTAACTGGTAACATTTTTCCTTCTCTCACCTAATTTAAAATTAGTGCGAGCAAACGATAAAGGAAACAAAAGAACAAAGTCACACATTATTATTATTATTTCGATGCAATTGACAAACTGTAAGAAAATTTATTATTTTTCTCTACTATTAATTATATAAAAGACTTTTTTTAAAATATGCCCAATATTAAAAAAGAATTTGTAAGAAACATTATCACACAAAACTCGTTGGTATTATTTATAATGTTAATATAGAAAATTCATGAAACGCCCACTGCCGTTTTTGATACTAAGTAATGCCCATTAATCGGTGAGTCATTGATACTGGCAGTGATTATACAAAAATTTAATATTGTAGGAGCGTTTATCTTAATAAAAATCTAAGAAGCACTTCTTAGTTTAAAAGGATGGGCAGTCCTTTTTTAATTTTAATCATTTTAATTTAAATTACTCCGAAATCAATTAGAAATTCGCAGAGGCTAAACGATAATAAAGATAATGTTTTTTTGTTTACATTTAAAGAAAACAAAAAATCATTATCAAGTAAAATGTAAAAATTTCTAAAAATAAAAATCAAAGCGAGAACATCTCGCAAATTGGAAAATATACGTTCGAAAATCTACATCAACAATGTTTGAGAATTCTAGAGTAGCAATAAAAATACTTAGATCATCTCAAAGTGAAATTAATTATAACAGAAAATTCGTTGAATCATTTCAATCCGTATATTATTTTGAGAGTCACCCTGTTTATCACTCGAAAGCTATCATTATAAACTACCTATTTGTACAATTAATTCTATTTTACCATTAACGACATAATATATATCCTTTTTATCTATAATTGGAAAAATTGCATTTTTCTTTAATTAAGTTGCTTTACTTCTAAAAGTTGAGGATAATTTTCAACTATATTCAAAAGAATTCCGTCAATGTAGGATCTCAATTGAGAGCTCACTTCCTGCTGTTCCTTTAGGGCCTGCTTCCACTGTGAAAAACAATTTTAATTAGATAAAAAATAGATTTAAAAAATTAGATAATTAATCGTATTAAAAGGGAAAAATTGTTTATAAAATTCTAAGTTCTAGTAAGTTATTAAAAAAAACTGTTGATAAAATGATTTTTATTCTTAAAGAAAGAATTCATCTCACTTCAGCTAGTGTGCGTGGTTCTGGCTCCCTCGGTTTACTGCCGTCAGTCTGATCTTGATTCATTCCTGCTAATAATTCAGCAGCAAGACTAGATCCTTTATCGACATTGTTCGCACAAGGATTCAGCATTAATAATTCCCGGCCCGCCTGTAATGCCGCCGCCGCTTGAAGTTCGTCTCTTGACTCCTCTAAACCTACAAGTCAACAAATTTAATAAATATAAAAAGAAAACTAAAAATTAAATTCTTTACTTTATATACTCCAAATGGATTTTTTTTGTGAATTAATGAATTCCGCTAATTAAAATACCTTCTCGTGTGATGAGAATGTAAAAGATTCTTAAAAATGAATAAAAATAAGGACGTACTTTTATTTCGTGTTCGTAAATGGGAAATTTCCTGCATTAGTGCATCTAATTTTTGTTGCTCGTCAACGTGCGCCGCCAATTCTTCTCTGGCAACTTCAAGCATTTGTTTGGCTTCATTTGAGCGACTCACTGCCTGACGTACAAGTTCCTGTGCAGCTTCAGCGTCTCTCCTTGCATCGTCCAACGAGTTTTCTAGTTGGCCTTTTTCCTGTCGAACTTTTTCCAACTGCTCCCTTAACCGAGAGACTTCATCTCTTAAACTGGCGCTCTCAAGTTCCATCGCTTGCAATTTTATCGAGCAATTCTCCAGTTGCAACTCCTTCTCCCGTTCCAATCGGCAAGCGAAGTCTCGATGCCTCCTCTGCTCGGCCTATTCGAAAAACAGAAAAAATAATATAAAAACTGCAGATTTTGTTATTATTTTAAGAATAATTTTTCAATTTTTGAAATAAAATGTTCTCAAAATTTCACAAATTCGAAACTTATTTTTTTCTTGACAAACTTAAAATATTGGATTCAATAAGTTTTAAAGATATTTTTTTTTAATTTAATGTCCCTAAAAATTTTATTTATTTCTCTAGCAATTTAATTTTTTTCAAAAAATTTTCCGTCGGTAATAGAATTTAAGAATTAGAATGAAGTAGTTAAAAGCAAAAAAAAACGAAGAGAAAAAATAGTTTCTTGTCTTTTTGAAAATTGAAAAATTAAAATAAAGTAATTCAAAAGAGAAAAAAAAAGAGAAGAAAATTCTAGTGCATTGAAATACGGACTTGCAGTCTTTCGTCGGCCCTGCTCTCCGCATCCTTAGCAGCTTCCTCCAACATAAGTACCCTGGCCTGGAGCGTCGCATTTTGCTCCTTCGCCCTGGCGTACCTCTCCTCTCCCACCGAATGTGTGTCCGCTAAAGCGTGCATTTGCTCTTGTATCATTTGTACCTAGAAAAATTAACAAACACAATTAGACGACAAAATTTCACTCTAATTACAAACTAAAAAACAAATATACACAAATTTGAATTTTCCTTGTCGAAAAAGTGAAAAATAGTGAAAATTTTCAGTAGTGAAGACACGAAAGAACGGATTATTGTAAATTACTAGAAGTAGAAAATAATTTAGAATAACGTCTTTTTACCTTCTTTTCTCAAATTAATTTCTGTTCTTTACCATCAAAGAAAGTAAATCTAAAGAGAAAATTTATTTTTTCCCAACAAAAACGATTTTTGTTAAAATAATTGTTGAAAAATTTCGAAATGATCGAAAAGTCGAAACAATATTTCCTGTCATTAAAATTTAATTGTTTTTTTTCTCTCGTAAATATAAATTCCATTGTTCTTTCGCGAATAATTCCGTCTTTATTTTTTCCTCGCTGTGCTGTTTCAAAAACAAAATAATTATTTTTACCTATTCTCTAGTTGAAATCGAAACCAGTGGAACTATTTTTTCTATTTAAAATACAGCTATAAGATTCAGGTTCCTATATACGTGTTTTATAATGCCGGTCAATAACCATAAGCGTCAACGATCGATGATGCCTATATTTTCTTACTTGTTCGTCTGATGCACTGGGACAATTGTGCCGTGAGTTATGATCTTGTAAAGGACAGTGCTCCAAAAATTGAAACTGACCTTCCCACAGATCGTACTCGAGACCGGCACCAGGTTCACAAGTTGTAACGTCACTATTAAAAATAATATCAAAATTTGTCTTGCAATTATTTAAATTATCGAATTTACACGATTTATTATTATCAACGACACCAGTTTCTTCACAGTCCGCTTCCATTCTACTAGCTTGACATTTTACGAGTTACAAAGTTATATTTTATGCATATGCCGCAAGCGCGTGTGTCGTATTTTTTCTTTCCAGCAGAATGACTATTTCGATCGTCACTCTAACTCCATTAGTATAGTAACTTCCACGGATTATATTTACACTGAAATGACCTTATTATTATCTTTGCTAATATTTTTTTTATTACTCTTTCTTTGGAAAAATGGGGAACAATTTCTGTTTAGATAATAGAAAACAACGCGCACTTTCGTCTCGTCTTGGCCGACGCCTTAAATTGCTCGAATATATATTTGTTGGATAGTCTCGATTATGTCGTGGGTTGTTAGTCGTAGTGGGCTATTTATGCACTCCATACTCTGTTTCGCCTAACTCCTTTTAATATCATTTTCTAATTAGAATCATTGTCGGGGAAGATCTGAAAATACATTTAGTTTAGTTGACATTTTTTTTCATTTCGAATTAACTAATTGAAAGCAAAATTTTCTACAAAATTATTTTTAGATAGCTTATTCTATTATTAAAAAATATATTTAAATAAAATAAAAAATATATTAAAATGTAGACAAAATTAAAATAAAAATTATAATGAAAACAAAACTAAAGTGAAACAAAATAAAAATTAAAATAATATGCTAAAATAAATTTACTAAAATAAATATATTCAAAAAAATAAAAATAAAAAATATATAATCGGAAAAAAAGTTTCTTACTCAAAGATTCGTTCCATCGAATTAAAATTAACCATCGAGCCATTTTTTCAACTGCACTATACTCCAATATCCGGTGTCAAATAAAACTAATAGAAAAGTTAGAAAAACCCAGCCTTTCCATTCGAGAAAACTTTTATTATTTACTGAAACATGTTTCGGGCAAGCCATCGCGAGAATAAATTTCAATGAATATTAATTACAAACTATAATTCCAATAATTCTTGTTTCGATAAAATCTCAGTTTTTTTTTTGTTACTTAAATTTTTTCCTACTGTTTCAAATTTAATTTACTCTAAAATATCTAAAATTAAAATTTGCAAAAATTAAATTACTGTAATTTAGAATTTTGACTTTTTGATAACTTAACAAAAAAAAAAAGAAAAGACTGCAGTTAATTAACAAAAAAATATCAACGCGTTTCACTCTGAACTAGGCCGTCAGATAAATATCAATTGTTCCCACTTCTCGCAATCAATATTTTTCCGGAAGCTATATTTATCGCGTTAAAATAAAAAAGCGAGAGAAATTAACATTTCTTATTTTATTTTTCAGAGTTGATTTTTAATTTACAAAAATAATTATTTTTTCCATGGAAAAATTTTTTCATTTCAAACTATTTATTATTAATTTATTGAATTTATTGAATTTTATGAATTTATTTAAAGAAATGAAAATAGTTACAAATTCAAATACTACATTTATTGAATAATTGTTCTTACATTTTTTTTTATATCATTTATAGATTTTCATTTTTTTCTTTTTCGTTCAAAAGACTCAAAACGGAAACTCCTTCATTGCTGTTCAATGTTTTTTGCTCAATTACCGAACTCGGTTTATTCAAGGAAATTTGAGTAACTAAAGAAGAAAAAATATTTTACACAAAATGTCATTTCGAAATAATTAAATATTTGGATAAATAAAAAGTATAAACGTACTTTTATTCGTCACGCGGTTCTTTTTCAATAATTTGCTATACAATGAATCACAGTCGATGGGCTTATGAAACAAAATGCTGCTTGTTGAAAAAAAAAATAAAAAACTGTTATAATCTCCAAATTAGTCATTTTTCTCTAAATTTCATAAATTTCTGAATATTTTAAATATTTTCTAATAAAATATAATAAATAGTAATTGAAAAATAGAAAAATATTTAATAATAATTAAAAAATCGAGAAATAGATTCAATAATAATTCAAAAATAGAAAAAGATTCAATAAGAATTAAAAAATAGAAAAAGATTCAATAATAATTAAAAAATAGAAAAATAATTCAATAATAATTAAAAAATAGAAAAAAAATTCAATAATAATTCAAAAATTGAAAAAGATTCAATAACAATTAAAAACTGGATAATAATTCTTTGGAAAATAAATTTAAACACTTGATTGAAGCGACAAATAAATAAATATTAAAAATAGAAAACAAAAAGAAAAGATGCAGACGGAAAACAAATTTTCCAAGAATTCGAATAATTATTTACACCTTGAAAGAAGTTAATTAACGCAAAACTAAAGCAATGGTAAAACTCACGCAAAAAGTAAAACAGACGCCACTGACAGTAGAATGAGAATTCCGTAAGTGAACGGATTATTAATGAGAAAACTCCCGTAATTAAAAGTTGCTTTTTTAAAATAAAGTTTGCGATGAAAAAGTCCCATCTATATGTTAAGGAACTTTACGTAAAGCTAATTTCTCATCATCCGTCATAAAAGTTCCAGAACTTTTTTGATTTTCCCTCAATAAAGTTTCTTCGGATCTACGTGATTTATTGCTGGCCGTATCAATAGAGATATTTTTACAATTTCTTGATTTTTGAACAGTATTTTTTGAATTGGATGGCGATGAAAATTTTTTTGGAGTTGAAGTGCCAGAAATTTCATCAAATTTTGGCTCAATTATTCCCTTATTATTAGTACAACAAACATTTGACGCCGGGCAATTCTCTGAGACATCTCTTTTTTCTATTTTTCTCAATGGTGCTCCAATTGGAAGCAAATGAGGATTCTGTACATAATTCAACGTTTTAGAAATTTATTTCTTTTAATTTAATGATTTAAAGATTAGAATTTATATTTTTTATTCGATAATATCATTTCCTACGGAAGTATTTTTTGGGAACTTTTTATCTTTAAGACGAAGAGATTTAAAAAAGGAAAAATACCTGATGGGATAAAAAAGAAGGAGTCGACCTTCCGGAATTACTAAAGTAACTTCGGAGAAAATTGTAAGCAATAATTATGGAAATAATTAGAAGTGTAAAAAGAATAATTGGTAGCCAAGAAGTTTCTTTGGTTGAATGTACTTCGTGCGAATTAAAATCAGAAGGACGATCGGATTGACAAGTGCATGGTGCTGCAATTATAATAATATCAATAAATAATTGAATTAGTCATTTCTTGATAGAATCTAAAAATAAAAATTCGAAGTAACCTACTTGAATAATGTTGATAAGGCCTCGGTGGAGGTTGGAAATAATTTTCACATGGAATATAAGAAGGATACGAGTGATAATTTTTACAATTTGTCGTTGAATCCTGATCAGTTGCCGAAAAAGATTTTTCTATCATATGACGAATGGGAATAAACGAGTTTCTCGATGAACTGACTTCATGTAGTTTTAATTTGTTTTTACAAGAGAATTTTCATTTATTTGTTATTGAATATAATAAAAAATAAAAATACTGAAATATATTTCCACTGGTTTTGATTTTGAAAAAGGTTTCTCTGATAATGCCGAAGATTACATTTAATGTCAAGTATTTGCCTACATTTCTAAAGTGTCATTTTTTACAACTCTGAAATTGTCTGCTTTTCACTTTCAGCCATCGATTTTCAGAGCTGTGTGTTTGTTAATAAGTAAACAAATTATGACGATTTATTTTAATTGAATTCTAATTGATCTACATAATTTAACGATTACTATATACCTAAATACATTTTTTTCTCGCGAGTCACGATCGAACCGAAAGTTTTTCGATTACAATCTTTTCTTACAAACGTTTTTAATTTTTATCTACTTGACTTTTATCTATTTAATTTAAATTTTACTTTAATTAAATTTAATTAAACTTAAAATAAATTTAATTAAACCTACATTAAATTTGATCAAACATTAAATTTAATTAAACTTTTATTTCCTCATTTTTACTCGATTTAGAATTTATTTCGACTTAAATTCCATTCCTCGGTTATTTTATTCTTTAATTGCTTTTCTAAATTCTAAAGCTTGTTTGGAATTATTTAAATGCTGCTTACGGTCAAAATATGGTTAAAAATATCTACGATTTTCCAAATTTTTCACTTTTTCGAAAACGGAAAATTCTTCTTGATAAATAAAAAAAAGAATCAATTTTTTTCAACACTCACTCTGTGACTGAGATCCAGGACGTCGTCTTCTAAAGAGACATCGCTGTACATTTCTTCTCCTGTATCACAGATAGATCCTCTTCCTGAACTATTGAAACTACTACTTCGATAAAGTTGACTGAAAAGTAAAATTTTTTTTTATATTATTATTTTATATTATTTTTTTTGCATTAGAAAAAATATAAAATATTTAATACCTTGCTAGTGCATTAGAGCTTAATCTTTTCCTGTTGGTTCTGAAAGAAAAAAGATAAAGAGAATTAAAAACAATGATTAAATTTTCAAAAAACGGGATTTCCGCTTATTATTTTCAAGAACGCTATAAAAAAATTACGTATTTTCCTTACCCAGTTCTTCTCAGCGAAGTTCTAAGCCAGGAATGTCGGCCAATAGTTGAGTTCGGACTTTTCGGATTTCTGAAGCAGATAAAAGTTAAATGAAAGTCAGTAAAAGAATATATTTTTTGTACCGAATGTTAGAAATCGAATCTACAATTTATATTTCTGGCTAATATTTTTATTATCTCAATAGTTTCGAATTTCTAATTTAAATTCGAATAAACTAATTCCATATATTTTTAATTCAATTCCAAATTGAGTAATTAATATTTCATTATTAATTTTTAAAATTAATTAAAATTAGTTATTAAAAAAAATTCTTTTTAGTGTAGACATTTCGACGAAATAAAAAAATGGAAGACAAATACAAAAAAATTACAAAATCATCAAAATTGTTCAATTTTGATGGAAAATTTAACAAAAAAGTATAAATAAAAATTGCAGAATCATCAAAATTATTAAATTTTGATGATTCTGTAATTTTTATTTATACTTTTTTTTTGACATTAATTGAATAATTAGGTAACCTCGACAATCGTGTCATCATTTTATTCCGGCTCAAGAATCTGAACAATGACACGAAAAAAAGAAGCAGTCCATTGTGCTTGCATTAAATTTTTTTTCTTCTTCTCCTTTTTGATAAATACTCCCCGAGTTCTTTTCAAAACAATTCTAATACATAACCAACGCAACGTGTAATTGTAGACTTTGCAAGAAAGCAATGGCAGTCATGAAACTTTGAAATTATAATGAATAAGGTGCTTGAATTTATTCCCTTATACTCGTCTTCCTGTTATGTTTTTCGATTATAACAACCGTGATTCTCACGGGCTTTAAAGGAAGCGAAAAAAGTCCTTGCACGATACACACCAATGAAATTGTGATGCAAGTTATGTGTACAATGTGAGGAATTAATTCCTCTTGTTGCATTACGTCAAATAGTGTCAAAAAATAACTACACTATAGAGAGTGTAATTTATTTAATCACAGTCGTATTTAAATTTAAAAATACTACATTCATATATTGTATATTTTATATTGTATATATGAAAATAAAGTATTTTTAAATTTATTTCATTCGCAGTAAATTAAAACGATCGTCATATAGAATGTTTGATAAAAAATGATACGCCCCTTTTATTATTATCCAACTAATCGAGAGTAATCGCCAGGGAATTAAAATTTAATAAATCGGAAGCATTTTAAAAAGGAAAAAGTGACTTGGAAGCCTCTGCTTTCTCTTCTATATAGTTGTACTCAATTTTCTAACGAGGCTAAATAGATAGTCGAGGAGAAAAAACTAATTGCTGCTGCATTGAACTGATAATCGGAATATCATATTGAATTCAATTTTTTCTTTTGTTTTTTCGCCTACAAAAAATATCCGCTAATCCAGTTTTCCCAAATCATCTGAAGAAGAAAAATTCGAATTAACTTCAAATATTTTTAATTTGTTTATATTTATTATTAAAATTAATTTTCAGCAGATTAAATAAATAAATTAACGCTATATTGAAATTAACTGTCAGCAGATTAAAAAATAAATTCACGCTTTTTTATTGAAATTAATTTTTTACGTCTTTCAAACAAAATAAATAACGAAAATCGAAAATTACAAAAGAAAAAAAATACTTTGTTCGCTAATAAATATTAGCAAGTTATTGTTAAAAATACTGCAATATTACGCAACAATTTTCGTATTCGTTGTAATATTTTCAGTAAATCAACAGTCGACTTAAATAAAAAAAAGAAAAAAATATTGTTGGTAAATATTAAAAAAAAAGAATGTATAAAATGATTAATATTCACAATATATTTGTAAGAAATATAAAATTGTATTTGTAAACAATGATGCTTACGAATTAGCAATTCTTAAATTTGCACAATGCGAAAGGAAATGTGTTTCTTGAAATATGCAAATACAAACGAAAATTGCTTAATGCGTATTCGTTATCAATTGCATTGTATCTTATTCGTTTGCAATTGCACACTATTGTCATCACATTTATCATCCACCGATATTGCTTGTTATCTAAAAATAATTACCACAATATAACACGAAAATAGACTAGAAAAACTGGACTTTCAAAGGAAACGCATCGCTAACAATTTTTTGAAATTGAAAACTCGTTTTTGATAAAATGAATTTTAAATTCATTTTCTTTATGTAAGCATTGTTTTTCTATTAAATTTCCGGTCAATTTAAAACGAAATATTTTGTAAACCATTGTAAATAAAAATTATTCAATCGAAATTATTATCCAAAAAATTATTCAAACAAAATTATTATCCAAAAAATTTTAAAATTGACAATTCTTTAAATTATTTGGAAGTTTAAATATTTTGCTCGATTATAAATATAAAAAAAATAGTTTGAAAATTCAGTTTAATATTGAGTAAAAAAATTTGTATCAAATTGAAATTTGAAAAGCGAATTTGAGTAAAAATTATAAGTTTCCTTTTATTTAAATTCGTCGATTTGATTTAAATTGAACGAATTTAAATAAAAGGAAACTTTTTCCCAGTAACTATTGTCTTCCTCGTCTCGATTGGATTGAAAATTAGTTTAGAATGAAATTGAATTCCTTTAATCGAAAATTATTTGCCTCTTGTTTTTGTCGACGACAAAACAGAATTTTTTTTCTGGTAATAGAAAAAAATTCTCTCATTGCTAACTTAAAAATGACCCTGGTGAACGTTTCCCTGAGTTTGAATTTTCGATTTTCGCTGCTTCTTCGTCGGCAGTGACTCACCTCAAAGAAGCGGGGCCCGTAGGCGACGGTGCTGAGCTGCTACCACCAGGAGATTCCTCCTCGTCGCAATCACCTTCAACAGAGCCAAAGGCCTCGTAACGTTCTTCCTCCTCGTGATTTCTAGTGACCTTGACTTCACACGAAGAAGCATTATTTGGATCAGGACTGGCCGAAAATGATCCCGAATCGTGATGATTCAAATCGATGGACATTGAAAATGAAGGTGGACCACTTTCGCTGTTCCATCGTGTTCGCTCGTTATTCAAAATCCGTTCATTGTCATTCCTCGGATTAAATTCAGATTCCTCTCCAGTGGCGGTGTTATTGGTATTGTTAACTGCCAGGTCGTTCTTATTAGCTACGTCGACTGTCGAGTTGTTATTACAGGTGACACTTACGCCTGGTGAACGGGAGCTCACCATCCTTCTCTTTCCGCCAGCTCAATCAGTCGACTTTGCAGTCTGTCGACAATCGTGAGAGTTGATCTTGAATAGAAAAAAAAGAAAAAGCAATTCAATACATATGAATGTGTACGTAGATTTAAAATGCTTTAATGCACCAGAGACTAGACTAGATGGAGTCGCGAGTGAAACTGAAAAGCTAATGGAGAACGAGAATCAAACTGGCACACGGCAGAGGTAATGCACGAACGCGAACGAACCGACAATGAGTCATACCTGAGAAATGTCAGGAGGCTGACTGTGAGTCTCTCTCTCTCGGAGTGAGACTCCGAGATCTCTCCGAGTAGGTGAGAGAGAACTGCCGTCTCTCTTCTTTATGCAGAGGTGTTGCGTGCCGGGTACAGATTTCAATGCATACTGGGTGTTGCGAAAATATTCTTTGGCGAAAAAAATAATTTTTTTCCTCTACGAAACACCCACTCGAAAATCAAAATCACATCCTTCTTTTTACCGATTTTGTACTCATTTTTTTTACTCGAAAATTATAATCGAAATCGTTGACATTTTCGATTATAATTTACGAGTAAAAAATTACAAGTAAAACAGAATAATGAAAACAGTCAAATTTTCTCCGAAATTTCATGTCTCAAGTAAATAACTTTATGACCCAATGGGTCATAAAGTTATTTACTTGAGACGTGAAATTTCTACTTGAAAATTGATTTTATTATTGAATAATTGCACAAATGCAAAAACAGAACAAATCGAAAATTCTCTCCAGCGATCAAATTTAAAAACTTAAAAATAAATAAGTGAAATTTAGTAATAAAAAAGACATTAATTCCCCAAAATTTTGTACGTTCAATTGAACAATATTTTTTCTGTATAAAGATTTTCAAAAATTAATTTACTGTAATGAAAAATTCAAATTACAAATTTTAATTACCAAAATTAAAATTTTAGTTTCAAAATTATAATTTTAGTTTACTAAATTCTTCCTGAGATTCATATTTGCCTTTTGTAGAAAAATACAAATTTAACGAAAGTATTAAAAATATCGAAGAATTTTATAATTATGAAAAATTAATTTCTTCTACTTTCGGATTAATTTATAAACATTGCTATTTTTCGAATAAAATATTTTAGGAATATTGTCATTTATTTGTAATTAATTTTTTTTCGTAAAAAAATTGTAAAAACAAATAAAAGTTTATTTTCTTGTCACCGAGTAAAAAATATGTCTTGAACGGAACAAATGCCAAGTTCAAAACTTGAGTGCAATATAGAGTTAAGGAAAAGAAGCCATAGCGATCGATGAAGGAAAAAGGGCTAAAAAGAGATTAATATTATTTTTCAAATTGACTATAGAAATGTTGCACAAGGCTTCTCTGATTACAATAAGTCATTAAATCATGTCTCATTTGAATCCTTTGAGCATTATATTTCACTTTCATTCAAAATCAACCTTCTATCAATGGCCTTCATATGATTCTATGTTTAAAAAGTCATAGTACATTCACTTAAATATATAAACAATTGCCAAAGACACTGATTTTTCAATGAAAAAGATATTGACCCATAAAAGATCTTTATACTTAAAATCTTTATTTTAATCTTTATTTTGAAAAATTATTTGAAAAACAATTTCGACACGTAAATTCACAAAAAACAAAGTTATAATAAAATTAATTTTTCCATTTGTAAATTAATGTACTATTTTCAAAATAAATATATTTTCTAATAAAAAATTTACTATTTTCAAAATAAATATATTTTTAAATAAAAAATAAACTATATTTTGTGAACGTAGTAAGTAACTTAGTCTTATGTTCGAATTTTTAAAGAGACCGGAAATTGAAAATTGTGCAGAAATTTTTTTTGTATCGACAAGAAGACCGTGGCTTCTTTTCCAGACGTAAAAAACGAAAGTCGAATGTGTAGTGTATGAAATCCTTTTAAACAGATGAATCTCAGGAAGAATGGAGTGTCTTTTTTCACACCAGATAGACAAAGAATACCTTCACACACACGGCACTTTGATTTCATTGACTAACGGGAAAAATTCTCATCACAAGCGTCACACCTCTGTTGCTTTCGATATATTCTTTAAGAAAATAGGTTGAGGAATTCTTTCAAAAAAAATATTTTACTCCGAATTTTTGGAATTTTGAGTTTTTGACACGATCTTTAATCTGAAAAACAAGATTTTAAAAAGTTAACAGCTGCATACAAAAATTCGTTTATATTTGACAAATATAAGTTCCTACATCGTTTTCTTTTCAATGTTTATCTTTCTTGCCTTTTTCCCCCGAGATTCGAATTTCGAATTCGGTTTATTTTTAATTTTAGAGATGCTCTCAATTTTTTTTACTTTTCAAATCTATCTAAATATATCATCGCTTTTTACATTCTCGGATTATTTTTATAATTCTGATTATATTTGAAGAATTTATTCTATTTTTCCGACTTCATATTTTTTTTGTAAATTTCATCGAATTTTAGTAAATATATTCTTTTTCAAAATTTTTCGGAATAAATTCAGAAAAAGAAATTTCTAAATATGTGGACTTGAAATTTGTTCTTAAAATCGTTTGTCTTTACAGACTGTTTCTAAGTCTTTTCCTCGCGAGGACTAAATACTTATCATAAAGGTTTACAGTCCAAGAAGCGTGTCCATCATGCCATTGTGTTCTAATTTTTTTTATGTAATTACACACCTGACCTACAGGATTTGACAAAACGAGACAAATAATATCTACGCTGACGCACGTATGTCCTCAAAAAGTAATTTTTCCTCTGACCTACAAACGCCGCGGTTTCTTTAAAATAATTGTAAAATAATAGTAAAATAAATAAAATACATAAAGTAAAAAACGTAGATAAATAAAAAAAAGTATAAAAAGTAATGTAAATAAATATAAATAAATAAAAGTACAAAAGGTAAAGTAATATAAATAAATAAAAGGCATACATATAGTAAACAAAAAAGTGAAGTAAAAAAAAGTTACAACTAGCATCAAATATTAAATATCCTTAAACTTTTCGGCTGCATTAACTGACGCACGTGTAAATAAAATTAATCACAATCAACTCACCTATCAACTATAATTATCAATCCAAATACTCTGATAAAATTCCACACTCAAAATACACTAATTTTTATTTAATTTCTAGCGAGAAAAATTCCAGTAAAACACACACTAGTCAAACATTTTAGGATCGTGACTGCATTCGATGCACTATTGGAATGTTTCTAAGACACCTGTTAGGGGGAACGAACAGGTACACGAAAGAGACTAACGGTCAATGGTATTAGAATTTCGAATTAGTTTTATCCATTGCCATAGGGTTTTAGCACGAACACGACACTGAACACTGCATAGCGGAACTAAAGCAAATGTCAAGAATGCCAAGAGTGAGCAGGGTGAGCAGTGAACTGAGGTCTAACCAGCGAAAGCAAATGAAAACGGTACCAGGTACGCATGCTCGTTTAAGGTGAAGGAGGGCTTTTACAGGACTAGGACAATAACAAAAATTTTAATCCCCTCAAGAAAAAAACATCCACATCCCCAAAACAATTCTTTACAATTTCGATGAAATTTCAAACAAAAGCACTTAAAAAAATAAAAAAAAAGCGTATTTACAGGTAAACGTCTGAAATCTAATTTTTCTATATTCATAACGGTGTAAAAATACTTGATCAAAGCATATGTGTTAGTTCTTAGTTTTATAAATGCATAATGTGCAAGGCGATATGCAAGTACGAGAAAGTCAAACTTTAAGTCTATTTTTTTTATTATTTACTATTACGTTACCTGTTTTTAAACGTACATAACTTTTGCTCCCACCTTCGTCCTTAGAAAGTCTTCACTTGAATTGACTTGAATGTTTTGAACGTTTTGAATGCGACAGGTAAATCAAGAACCTAACCTAACAGGGTTCACCTTCTTCCTTATCCGCATTTAACAAGTTTTCTCAAAGTAAGCAAAATTTAACTGCATAATGATTGAATAGACCAATAAATGTACTTGTTTACTTATGAACTTTCTCAACTTTGTGTTATTTTAGCTCTTTATTTTTAATTTCTTTCTTGACACAATTTTCTCGTAAAAATGCATTGAACTGCATTTTAGTTGCCGACGTTCTGAACTTGTCTGCAAATGCAGGTAAGGTTAGGTTAGCTCAAAATCTCATTGGTCGATTCGTACCCGGGTTATTTAATAATATCAACGAAAAGTAAATCTTTATGTTGAAAAAAGCTAAATATGGGCAATAATTTCTTATTTTATTTTTAATTTGTTTATAATTTATTCCGAAAAAATTTTAGGTATATTATTTTTAAATAGAACGTGAAAAGGTGAAAAATAAAAAAATTAGTTGCGCACTTGCGCATGCGTCAAATTAGTGCAAAACTAAGTAACTAACTTCAGTGTGAACTGTGTAAACAAACTATTTCTCATAGAAAAACAGAAAAAGTTAGTAATAATAATAAGTGAAATTAAATTAATATTAATAAATTACGCAGGAAGTAATAATGTTTCATAAATATTATATTTTATTTCTATCAGAACAAACTCGTTTCCCATAACATTGATAGGAATACAAAATTAATATTTTCCCAGTGTGGTTCCACTTTTCATATCTCACAAGTTTCTTAATTTTTAAATTCTGAAATTAAGATTTCGATAATAAGGTAACTGTACTAAAACCAAAAAGTCTCTATTATAATTTAATGTTTAATGTACTTTCAGTGACAACTTTGTTGAATCTTTTGCAATAAGAGCAAAAAACTAAAACCTAACCTCATCACTTATTTAATTTTGCAATCAAATAACTAAGAAAGTAATAAGAAGAAGAAGAACTAATAAGTATTAATTGAGTAAAGTATCTAATCTCAAGTAGACTTAGAATGACTTTATAATTATGGCACGAGAAATAGAAAAATTAATAAATTAAACTTAAATTATTTTGTCTTTCATAATTAGAAAATCACAGTAATTTTTCAGCATAAAAGGATATCTTAGTGAAAATCGTTTAAATTTCAGATTATTCAAGGGGTAGATTCTCTTTCACTGCTACTACTACTCTTTTTGTAAACTTCCTTGTAAACCAGTTCTTGCATTTGCATCCTGAGAAGCATTCTTCGCTCGGCCGGCAAAGTTCTTATGTGAGGTAATAGGCTCATTAAAAAGAAATAATTATCATCGCAACGATTTCCTTCGAGAGGATCGACATTGAGGCCGTTCATTGAATCTGCATCGGCCATAAGAACTTGTTCAGGCGATAGATTTTGTAGCATCATCTCATTATCAGCAAGATTCTCCGAGACATTATGAAATTCAAGACTTTGAAATTGTTCCTCTGGTTCTTGTTTCACTTCAACTTGATGAATGCCATCGAGATTTATTTGTGTGTCACCATTGACAAGATCAAGAGTTGAATTCTCATCAACATTCGACACTTTATTAGTGGAACTTCCATTCTGATCAGTGTCCATTTCATTCGAATGATCATTGTCCGAATTACGAGAGCAATTACGTTCCCAAATTGGTGGTCGGGGTACCATTTGTTCCTTTAGAAACTGAAGGCTCTTGAAATGAATCCAAACGGGACGATTTCGATGATAATTGCTTTTTTGATAGACCAATTCTTTTTTCAATTCGGCTCGAAAAGTGTCTCGAAGACCTTTCCATTTTGCTTTCAAAACTGGTTCTGAAAATAAAGAGTTATGGTGATTTTTTTGTTTGAATTGTTGAAAAATTCAAAATATTTGGGAATAGATGGGAAAGGATTCTCTGTCGGTTGTTGAAAGTACGTTACTCTTTAAAATTTCAATTATCTTTAGAAACAATAAAATTCTTCTCCAAAATTCAATTATTTGCAAAAATTTTAATAAAATTCTTGGCAAAATTTCAATTATTTTCAAAAATTTTCCTCAATTCAATACTTTTTTAATATCTACTATTTTCATAAAATTTTCCAAAAGAATTCAATTATTTAAAATAATTTTTAATAAAATTCTACGCTAACATTTTATTATTTTCATAAAATAATAAAAATTTTACAGGAATTAAATTATTTGCAAATTTTTTATAAACATCTTCGCAATATTCAATTATTTTCATAAATAATCAAATTTTTTACAGAGATTCAATTATTTTCATAAATAATAAAACTCATTTTAATTTAATTTTAGGAAAGGGAAGTCTTCTTAAAGTTTTAAAAAATCGAAATCAAAGTAGAGTTGCAAATACATGTAGAATCACGTGCTCAGTGTTTTATTTCTAACAGAACGTGTCAAACGAATCGATAATATTTATACTTTAGCTGTTAAAAACGTATTATTTCCGACCAGATCTTTTAAAATGACAACTGTTTATAAACACATTATTGATATTGAAATATTTTTTAGTTAAGTATTATAGAAATAAAAAAGTAAAGTCCAGAAAAAAAGAAGTAAAATACAGAAATAAAGTACAGAAAGAAATAGAAATTAAATAAAAATTTAAACGCACTTGGAAGTTTGAAGATCGTTGCAATTTCCAGCCAAACTCTATTGGTCACTTCTCGATTGTGATAAGAGATGTGTCTCTGGTTCCAAAGAGCCGGTCTTTTGTAAACTTCCGCTATTAAGCGATTCGCATCCATTTTCACCTCGTCCTTCATTATTTTCAACTTTTTTTGCCTCTTCTTCTTGTGAAAACGAAAGAAAAAAAAATTTCTTCTAAAACGTGCTTGGAAAAGTCTTCTACGTTGTTGACTATGGTAAACTGAAGGCAAGTAAAATATGGGCGAATACTAGCGTCAGTAGAGCGATTAGCGCGCAGGACGCTTTCGAGTAACGATCGATTCGCTGAGCATTTCGCCCTCGCCTTGCTAGCGCTAGCGACATTTTCGTTCATATGTATACATATATATGTGTACGTCATATACCCCCTATAACAATTGTTCTCGAACCACCACCTGCGACTGTTCTCTCCTTGCCCCCTTCGCGTAAGCCACAATCTCAATTTTCTTGCCAGCTTGCACCTTTACAGTATTTTATCCCCCGATAAAATTTCTTTCTCTCAACCAACTCTCTAGTTTATATTTTAAAAATCTTGCAGCGCAAAAAATAATACAAACTTATTTTATAAATAATTTATTAAAAAAACTATTAAATAATTTTCTTACACACGTCTTCCGAAAATTGAAAAAATAATTTATTAAATAGCGGAAGAATTGAAAAAAATATTTTATTCTTAAATCGATTTTTTTATTCTTTTATTCCTTTTTTGTTTTGTTTTTTGAATTTTGAAACGGTTTTTCTGTTGCAGAAAGAGGAAAAAATGACGGAAGCTTTCGAAAATTACGAATTAATTGCCCAGGGTGCGGAGGCGAGACTTTACAAAGGCACATATTTGAATAGACCGGTCTTAATAAAGCACAGATTTGTCAAGAAATACAGACACGAAATTTTAGATAAAAGTTTAGTAAATCATCAAATTAAAAGCGAGGCTCGAGCATTGTCTCGAGCAACAGCAGCAGGTAAAAAAATAAATAAAGTTATTTACCAAATATCATTTTAATTATTTTAATTAATAAAAATTTGTTTCTAGGAGTGCTAACACCTGCGCTATATCACGTTGATCTACATCGCAGAAATATTTATATGGAATACTTAAATAATACAATGACTGTAAAAAAATTTATAGACGAAAATATTTCGGAAGACGAATCATTTTGGCAAGTTGCAAGGTCGATTGCCAAAGTTTTAGGCAATTTAGTTGGAAAATTGCACAGTGAGAATATTTTTCATGGAGATTTAACGACATCTAATATTTTACTAAGAGACGTTACGAACGAATCAAGAGACGTTAAAAAAGGTATTCTATTCTACTCTTAATTTTGTTAAATTCTCTTAACTGAATTTAATTTCCAATTTCGAATTTCACTTCTACTTACAAAAAGGAAAAATACTTTTACTAAGAATAAATTTCTTTCAGACCAAGTAATTCTAATAGACTTTGGTCTGGCCCACGTAAATTGTTCCGTGGAAGATTCTGCGGTCGATTTATACGTGCTCGAGAGGTCATTAAAAAGTGCACATTCAAAACTGAAGGATTTGATTTTTACTATTCTCGAAGGATATTTGGAAAATTACGTAGAGAAAAAGCAAGAAGAAAGAGGAAAACAAGTACTAAACAAACTAAAAGAAGTGCGATCGCGTGGCAGGAGACGAGTAATGATTGGCTAAGTTTTTATATAAAATGTAATTAAATTATTTTACATAATAAAAATTAAAAATTTCTACAATTATACCTGTTATTTATAAATATATTTATTTTAATTTAATTACATTTTAATGAAAGTTCGAGGTATCCACTCTCAATGAATGTATAAGTAACTTATGATTCAATAAGTCAATTATTAATGAACTAATTAAAATGAAGGACGTTAAGTATGAGTTATCAGTCTGCAGCCTTTATAAAAGGTTTCTATATGACAACATACATACATCCATCACTTTCCTCCTTTCACAACTTGTTTCCTATTTTTTTAGGATTAATTGAATCTCATTTACGTTGATATAATTTCTTTAATCAAAATGTAGGCCCGAATAAAAAATTATCCAAGTTACCTGCGAGCAAAGAATAAACTTTCAATAACTATACTTGAAAAAGAATTAGTTAATTAGTTTTCTATAATTTTCAAATAGGTATTTAAATGATTTAAATACTTACCAAAAAATCTGCAAACGAAGTCATAAATCCTTCTTTCGTCAACTCCCATGCACCACCAAATTCCTCCTCATCAACTTGTTGGTAACAACTAAAGTATAAATATGTTAAACCCGTATTTATCAAAACGAATCTGAAACAAAGAAATTTAAACAATTAACAATAAAATGAATAAAATCAAAATTTTTATTATCTAATAAAACTATTTTTAATTATTTTAATTCATATTTGAATACAAGACACCTGATAGTTATTTCTAAAAGCTAATAAATACAAATAACATTTTTTAAAATAGAGGAAGAAAATACTAATATAATAACAATAAACAATTAAGAATACAATATGGTATAATTGAATAATTTTAAGAAATAATGCAAGATGAATACAAGACTTACAATAAAAGGCCCAAAAATCCTTTAAGAGCTATAAGGCCCCAAGCAATACCAACAATTATTCCAATAACCTGACGAGACCAGTATATAACATCTAGAAATTCTTCCTAAAACGAAAATTGAATTAATAAGTATGATATAATTAATAGAGATAAAATAATAATCAGAAAATAAGAGACGAATGATGTTGTTTTAAATAAAATTAAGGTTATGTTTACTTTATCTGGCCACTCGGCATTGGCAGTAAATGCACGTAGCCAAACACTGCTGCTGTCACTTCCAACTTTGTCTGATTTAGATCGAGACATATTTAACTGTATTTTAATTAATAAAAACTAGTTTTTCTAAATCTAAAAATTGTGAGTCACAATTAATTATTGTGAGCTGTCACTTTGTCACCTGAGTGCCTGAGAAAAAGTAATTTCCAAAAATTGGATTGAGATGGCGCTTTATATTTTAGCGGGAAATTAAATAGAATTCAAAGAGTCGTATTTTATTCACATTGCAAAATAAGAAAAATCTTTTTTCATTTTTAAATTAAATACTATGACAGTAGTTACAATTCACTACTATTATAACAATAGCAAAGAGAAAGTATAGAATAATTTTTCGAATCTCAAAATGAAAGATTATTTTTCTTATTTTGCATTATCTTTTTTCGTTTTGCAAGAGTTGAGAAAGGTGAACCACAATCGACACACCGGATATTTGTCTATACAATTTTAATTTATTCTCTTACAACTATTTTGGTAAACTCATATTAAAAATTTGTTTTCTCTCATACTGGCTTTCCAATGGATAAATCATCAAATAACCGTTTCTTTTTCTTTATAAAATTCAAAAGTCTAATTTTAGAAAAAGTAAAAACATTCGAAAAGATTTTTTGTTTTCTAATTAAAAATTTTTTTTTCTAAAGTGAACAATATGTTTCATTTTTCGCAAAATGAAAAAACTTTTTCCAAGAATATATAAAGATTTTGAAAAGTAATACAAAATTCTAAAAGGGCAGTTTTTTTATCGCATTGATTAAGTTTTCAACTTCTATACGGAAAATTAGGCAGTTGAATATTAAAATTACAATTGTTGTATATATAATATATATCTCGCATTCTGTGCATCATCATCGAAGTAAAATCTCAATATTGACAATTTGTCGTTTGCAAATTTTTAAGGGAAATATATATACTTTTCTTTCCAAGTCAGAAAAAAAATTTAAATTTGACATAAATTTAAAATAAATTCTAATAACCATCAGATTTGATAGAAATTTACATTTTAACAAAAAATTAAAATTAAACAATAAAAAAAAAAACAAATCCCATTAAAAATAAAAAATTTACGACGTAATCTCACGACAATTTTTTTTCGTATGTATTGCACATTTCAATAATTTATATAATGAAAACGGAGATTAAATATTTTGAAATGTGTATATATATATATATAAATTTGATGATTATAATTTATAATCAATCTGACTTTTCAGATTTTTTTTTAGTATTATAATAAACAGTTTCTCAGTTTACATAAAATAAAATATTTACACTCATTCATTCGCTATTAAAAAACCAACAAATCACAATATAATGTACATATCATCCCAGGAATATCCCATAAAATTTACATTAAATTACTAATTAAAATATAAACTATGACTCGGACAACTATAGTTTTGTCTTAATTTTAAATACAATCTGCTATTACAATATTTCTTCAATTCGTTTTAGCAGGCTTAATTTCATCGAAAGAATATAAATATTTTTCTTTCTCTTAAGGGAAATGTAATTCATTATATATTATAATATAGGTACTGGAATATGCAATTTTTATAAGCAGAATTGTCTTAATTTTTGGAAAATTTCTGCTTTTCCTTAAACGTTAGGCTTGGAAGTTCGAAAATAAAGTTTTCGATCAAAAATTTTCCATTTCTAAATTGTAATTATTCAATTTTAAATTGCAAGAATTTTTTTTCATTTTCCGTTAATATTTTCTTAAGATTCATAGAATTTTTTTCCCATCAAATAGCGAAAAAAAGGAAGACTATTCCAATTAAAGGAAAATTAGCTTTAAAAAAATATTACTTCGATTAAAAAAAAACAAAATTGTCTATAAAAAACACGATTTAAAATAAGAAACAGTCTTGTGGCTAAAATTCACATGCATTTTTGTCACTTATATTTTTCCCTCAAAATTCTGTTTCTTTACGCGAAAAAAAAAGATATTTCTTCGTTTCAATTTAAAGAATATTCGAAAACAAGTTCACATTTTCCTCCATTAAGTACGAAAGTTCTCGTCAAAAGGAAAAATTAATATAAATACAGCAGTTTATATGTAAATATAAACTGAGTAGCTAATCTTTTTTTTCTAAGCTGCATCGTTGCAATTAATGGAATGTAGTTTGTTCCTACGGTTCGTAAAGATTTAAAAAAATTAAATTTCCTGACACAATATAATATCGCAGGATTGGCACAATCGTTTCTAAATTGTTTAAACGAAACTCAAACGTCAACAACATCATTATCATAATTGAAGTTCGAATCGCGCAAAAACGAAGTGCGCCGCAATTTAACGGCGATCTGCGGCACTTCAGCCGTTTTCGGAACTTCCGTTGCCTGTAAAAACAAAATAAATTATTTCTCCTCCTATAATATTGCACTGAAAAAAATTCATCGTCATTAAAATACATTTCAATATATTATAAATATTTATAAATTTTTTTTCCTTCGTAACTTTCTTTTTCAGATTTATTAAAAATTGAATTGAAATTAAAACTGAAATATTTGTGCATGGTTATTGAAGCACTGCATTTTTAATTATTGCAAATTTATTACTTCTTTTTGTTAATATTCTTGAAATTTAATAAAGCTTATTAAACTACTAAGGAGGAAAATAAGCAAATAAAAACAATTTTTACAATGCATAAAATTTTATGTTAAAAAAATGAATGCGGGAAAAAATTTATGAAATGCAAAATAATATTAACGATTAAAAATTAAATTATCCTAACACTGAAGCGTAAGTAAATTAAAGAAATTATAATATAATACCTTATTCGATGCTGGTTTGACAGAACGACGAAGCACCGACCTCCATGCTGCGGGTGCGGTAATTTCTAAAATATTTACAGCCAAAATGGTAAAAATAAAGCTAAACATGCGGGAATTAATTGTAAATTTAGCGGTAAACTCAAAAATTATACGCCTATTTTTTAAAAACTAGCCTAATGATTAATCGTGCGAAAAAATTGTAATTGTAGAACTTTTTTTCTTTGTTTCTCACCGTTCTCCTTTTTATCCATCTTTGTTTTGGTCAAACTAGCCGCTAATTCTCTCACAGATCTTTTCTCGACACTCGAGTTTTCTCGAACAGTAATTGTGCTACTTCCCGATAACGTGGGTGGCAAAGACGCTGGACCGCTCACTCCACTGTCCGTTGACTCATCCAATGCGTCTCCTGAATCCGGAGTATTTCCCGCTGAAGTATTCGGACTCGATCCATCGCTGAGTAAATTAAATTCCCCTGCGAAGTGTAAAAAAAAGTTAGAAAATAATCACAAAAAAAAATTCGAAAATTTATTTTTCAATTAGAAAATTCGCACCTGATTTTCGATCGGCCGCCATGCTCCAAGGTCGTGGTTTCGGCGCTGTAATCGGTGGAGTTGTTTTCCCAATTGAACCATTACCTTTGGCTATTGATTTTAAAACTGGCGATTTAGATGTATCGTTGTAATCCTTCGAAGTCGAATCAAAACCAGTCGATCGTAATTTAACGGAAGAGACTTGACCGGTTTTTTCCGAGTCTGCTCGCTTTATAAGCGTCGCACCAAAAGTGGCACTAGTTTCCTCGGTGCTCGTCTCCTTTAAAGCGGGTCGCGATGTTAAACTTGAACCAACAATTGGCAAAGTATTTCTTTGCAATGATTCTGGCATTCCCTCCTCGTGCAATGTTTTCTCGTGCGAACTCTCATTAGTCATTCGTCGTGCCAAAGGCGATGATGTCAATGGCGAATCGCCCTGAGATCTCCTGCCAATTAAGGGCGAGAATTTCTCCAAATTATCACTGGATCTCGAACGTGGTGTTGGCTCAAGAAGAGTCTTCAGCATTGGCGGATTACTCTTCTGGCTGTTGATCGATAAATTCGGACTGCCTTCGATTGGAAAAGTGTGCAGGGAGCTAAAATTAATTATTCAAATTAATTTTACTGGAGTAAGTCCATTTAGATTTAATTGTTATGTTACATGGCATTTTACTTAAAACTATAAATTAAATTTTTCATAACTATAAAACATGAAGTTAAAATTTCACAGTTCTAAAATAATTAATTGTGGAAATTTCTTAAAGAAATTTACCTGTCATCGCTTGTCGGTGATATAAGAGGTGTAGTGGGTGTCGTGGGTCGGAAGAAAACATCGAGACCTTCGCCTAGAGTGAGTCCATTCGGTTGTTGATCAGGTCTCAACATTGGTCTAGAAGGTGCTCTCGTTTTTGCTCTCTTCGGTCTCGATTTCACGAGGTGTTGTAATTGCTGTCCGACAGTATTTGGCAACTCAGAAACTGAATCTAAAGACTCCGTCAAGGAATGTTCGTTTTCCGATATTCCTAATAAAGCAAAGAAATAAAATTATAAAATAAAGTAATTACATTTTTATTTAATAGAGGCAAGAAATTTCACTCCGAAAATTTCGCTTGTAACAAAATTAGAACCGAAATTTTAAACTAAAATAAACAGTTGCCTAATTGCTGGTTAATTTGATTTTCAAATACCTTCAGTTTGACCCTTTGGCAGAGAAGGAAGTAAGTCTGGAATATCATCAGCGGAGAGACCCTCCACAGAATCCACAACTGATTTAGGCCTCAATTTTCTTCCGTGCAGACTTTTGCGTTTATTCGACAAGTGAGGAGTGGCCTAAGGAAAAATTTCATATCAAATCACAGAAACAGAAAAAATATTCAAATTTTGTTCAGATTAAAAAGAATTATTCAATTAATTAAAAAGAACGATCAATTATTAATATCGATAAGAAAATATAAATACGAAATGGAATTAATATAAAGAAGAAAATATAAATAAGAAATGTAATTAATAATAAGAAAATTGAACAGTTGAAAAAACCTCGAGATAGAAAAACATTCGATACACTTAAATGAATGATAAATGATACGCTTAAAGTGAACTTTTAGAATGAGAGGATTTGTTTACTCACAAGATTCAGGTAATCCAATTTCTTTAGAAAGCGTGAAAAGAGAGGAGAGTAATTTCTATTCGAATATGATTAAAATGTGATGTTAATTAATATCCAATTTTATCTTACCATAGGTGAAGGATCGGTCACGCATGGACCTAATGTGCTCGTTAATGAATAATTCTCAGGCGTGCTTTCTTCTTCTGAAACGAGACTTGATCTACCAATACTCAATGACTGAGTTCCGACTGCGACGCCAATTACACTTCCACTGCTCATCGATCCTGCACTTGGTCGCAAAACATCTGGAGTGCTACTTCTTGTTCTACATTCCGAATCTCCAATCTTGACAATGAAAGTTTCAATAATCAATTTCAAAGTTCATTCAAAAACTATTATCAATTTTAAACTGATAAATAATTCAATTGAAAATAAATTCATAACTCACTGTAGGTTTAGAAAATAAATTTTCAACTTATTATAAACTTAAAAAATAAATTCACCAATTTTTTAAATTTAATATAAAATTAGAAAATAAATACTTACCAAATTTTTGTAACTTCTTGAAAGTGATTCGATAACTTCGTCAGTAACTCGATCGGAAACATGGGCAGCTACAGCTAAGTTAAGTTCACTAAAAAGAATTTCGTTAAATCGTAATTATCGAAAAATAAAATAATAAATAAATATATTTTCGATACATACTTTACTTTATTAAGAATATCAGCGCCAGCTTGTTCGGTGATTGTTCTTTGAATAAATTCATGATTGACTTGATTCCTTTCTTTGCACGAAGCGCGAAGATCGCATTCGACAGTGATTGGATCACTTTCTTCGTCTTTTATCACAGTTTGCGAAAGAATAGTCGGACACTGTTCATTAGCACACTTGAGCATTGCATCCAGGGAATCCTATAATATAGAATCAAAATTATTCAAAAATTAAAAATTTAATTTCGAAATGATAATATTAAAAGCAAAATGTTAATATTCAGATAAAATTATGCGAAAATAAATCGACTTGAATTACGAACCTTCAAATAAACGGAAACAACTTTATGAATTTCGTCAGCCATTTGTATGAGTTTTATTTCAATGGGATTATTCTCGTCTTTTCTTTGGAGCATTTCGTGCAATCTTGGTAGAAGCTGTAAAAAAATAAAATCATATGTATGATGTGTATAAGAATAAATAAATAATTCTAAATATGTAAGAAATTACAAATCAGATTAAAATAAAAACAAAAAATACCTGTTTGGAATTATCAGCGTCCTGTATGAGACCAGTCGCGTAATTAATGTCATTATTAGCATCACAGCTTTCTGCCGCTAAAGCCTTGATAGTATCCTGCGTCTGAACGACAAGTCTGTCAACCATTTGTTGAGTAGAACTCAATAAAAATCCCTGTTGCAGTCTAAATGCCTGACCGTGACTGTATTTGCATGGTGTCACATTTCTCTGCAGAAGATCTTGAATTTTTCTCACGAGTTGTTCCGTTTTTTCCGCTGATGCTTTCATACACGGCTGCAGATCGAAAATCGGAAAGGGCATGTGTCTCACGCTATAGTTACTGAAATTATTAAAATTAAATCGTTAATCCTTGAAGAAATTGGAGAACTCAAAATAGAAATTAAAATAAGTAAAAATTAAAATAGAAATTAAAGTAGAAATTAAATTAGGTAGAAATTAAAATAGGTAGATTAATTTAATTATAAAGATGATTAGGAGAAAATTTAAAACAAAATTTACTTTTCTAAAGCATGAACTATGTCTGAATATCCTTGGAGGCCGATATTATTCCTGTCGTAAATGATGACCTTAAGATGATTATTTATTTGCAAAGCCTTGGCCAAAAGTCTAGCACCAGGATCACCAATTTGATTGCCGCTAATGTCAAGAGTATGAAGACACGTATTACTGCCAAGAGCATTAATCAAATTGTACAGATCGCCTTTAAGTCTCGAATCCGGCAAATGTAAAGCTTGCAATACACAATCATCTTCCTGTATCATTTGCACCAAAGCATCCGTAATAATTGCAATATTTTTACTCTTCATTCCAGCAGTATTACGCCCCATATACAAGTGTTTTATGGATTTATTCTTCCCGACCGCCGTTATCACTTGAGCTAAGTCAACATCCATGTCTGAAAAATAGTTCTAAATTAAGGACAATATAAAATAATACAATTTATACAATTTAAATAATACAATCACATCTTATACTAAATGGAATTATAAAATATATTCTTTTTTATTTGTTTTCCTTATTTCTTATTTTGCACTTACTGCTGTCTGAAATATCGAGGGACGATATACAACGAACGCCATGAATGCAAGATTCAAGAACGTGAGCACCCATTGATCCCAAATTATTTCCACTCATGTCCAACTCCAATCCAACGGTACTTTCATTACATGCCAATCCGAGTAAGAGATGTTTCAAAGCTTCCAGTGGCAATTTACAGCAAGAGATGTTTAAGTACTTGAGTGATAAAGTGGCCGTGAAAAACTGTTTAAAGCTAGGAGGAATTTCTTTGGTTTTTTTGCTTGAAAATGAGTTGCGAGCAACATTCAAGTGGACTAGATTAGTTGCGCATCCTCGCAACAGAGCGCCAAACAACTGTAATATATTTTTTAATTTACGACTCAATAAAACTAAAAAATCGAAATAAATCTAAAATAAGTCGAAATAAATCTAAAATTAGTCTAAATAAATCTATAAAAAATCTAAAAGAATGTCCAAATAAATCTAAATAAAATCTAAAATTTTATTTAAAAAAAATGTCTATTAATAAAAATACTCACGCATTCGAGAGTAGTATCGGTACCACTTAGATCTAAGTGAGTTATACTATTAGGCTGCGCCAAAAAGTTACATAAATTCTGCAATAATAAATATTTCCATTAATTATAATAAGTGTGACACAATATAGAATTATTTCTCTAAATAAGAAAATTGAAAATTTTCGTTAATCGTTCGTTAATCAATTACTTACATTAATATCATCCTTTAAAGTATTTCCAGAGAAGTTTAGGTGCTGAAGACTAGTTGGCATGCTCCTATTTAAACTGAGAGCGTGTGCGATTTGACCCACGCCCTTTCCAGTTAATCCACAGTGCGATAAATTTAATTTCTGCAGGCCTTTGGGCAGTTTAGTTATTGGTCCATTTAAGTGTGAAGCTCCTTTAAAATACATAATATTCGTTAGAAAAAATTAAATCCGTATTTATAAGTATCAACCACATGCAGCATGATAACAATGAAAAAGCTTCGTGAGTTGAAAACGATCTTTTCATTTCTTTAAAATACTTTCGAAAATCTTCATTTCAAACTAGTCAAGCAATTTAACAAATCAAATCAAAAAATTAATTAATCTAATTAATGAAATTAAATTTAAAATTAAAAAATTAAATTAAAATTAATCAAAAAGTTGCTCCAATCAGAAAATTAAATTATTTGATTGGATCTATAAATCTATTTTCATAAAATAAATAATTGAATGTGAATTCGTAAATACGAATAAATATCTAAATAGAAAATTTCAAAAGAAATGAATCAATCGATTCGGAATGAGTAAAGAGTGAGAAATTGAACGACAAAATAAAAGAATCAAGTGTTTAAAATATAAAGAAATAGAAGAGTGATAATGAATTGCTGAAAATTGAGTTGATCAATTAGCATTTAAATGTGGTACTTTTGCACACCTTGCATTAACTTGGCTATAATCCCACACAAGCTAGAGGCCCCTACAAAATTAAAAAATTCGTGTACTGTGAGTTCTGTGGATTGTTTGTGTATACACAACAAACTAAACAACAATACGTGACAAATATCACACAACAATATTAACGTGAAAAATATTCAAAAACAAAAAAACAAAGAAAAAAAAGATTTATAATCGAAAATATCAAAACTTACCCTTATCTTCAATCATATTATTAGATACATCTATAGTATGGAGCATTGAGTTAGCATTTGAAATTAAAGCTAATGACAATTTGTGTGCAAAATCCCTGAAACAAATAAATTTATTGTATTAATTAAAAAAAACTTTAAATATTTAAAACAACCGAGTGATAAAATCAAATATTTTTAAAAAATTAAAAATAAACAAATTTGTTTTAAATTTAAAAATTAAACTTCAACTTGCTAACTTCTTGCACCTTTGATATTATTGTATTAATTGTATTAAGTGTATTAATATAATTTTATCAAAATTTCTAAGAGATTTTTCGTTTTTTACCATTTCACTCCCAAATTGTCCAAGTATATTTCCTGAATAGAAAGAGATCGACGCAACACATGTAGCAATCTTTCCAACGGCTCGTGACTTAGTTTTAAATGAGAAACACGTAATTTAGTGAACCATGTGTTATATTCTAATGCCGAGATAATAGGCACTAAATCCTTTTGATCGAGGTGATCGAAATCTCGTAAATTTAATTCCCTGGTATCGTGAGATAAATATATCGTATCTACATCCTAAAAGAAATAATTTCAAAAGTTAATTAAAAATTATAATTAATTAATTAGTTAAATGAGTTAATATTAATTAATTAAATGAATTAATATTAATTAATTAAATGAGTCAATATTAATAAATTAAACGAATTAATATTAATTAATTACTCGAAAATTGAAATAACACTTGCTAGATTTTTTTAAACATTAATTAATATTAGTTAATAATAATTAATAATTAAGAATTAAATTATTTAGGAAAATTAATGAAACCTACCCAAGCTACTTCATCTCTATATGGCACTGCATGTAAATCGCACATGCAAGCATATTGAGTTGAAAATCCCCCACAAGGACCAGTGTGTCTCGTTGCTTCTGTACTTCTAGCCAAATCACTGCCTCTTATGCTCTGCAATCTACTAACTGGTATCACGTCGATTTTCCTTATAACGTAACTGTAATAAAAGAATAAATACAACTTTAGAAATGTAACAAAAAGGTAAATTAATAAATAAAAAGAAAATTAAATTCCTTTTTAAAGTAGAAATTAAAATTTCAACTTTAAAGAATTTTAAATTATTAAAAATTAATAATTTAAAGAATTTTGAATTAAATTAAGAAATTAATTAAAAAACACGAAAAATTACGAATATTTTTACAAATTTAGTAAAAAAATTACTAACTTTAGAGGAACTGTGGGGAAAATGTTTCGGATGGCAGTATGTAGAGCTTCGATCATTGCATCTACTTCGGTAGTATCTGCACCAGCCCCTATTGTTGTGAAATTGTACACCCTTTCTCCCACTGTGAGGCATAATAAATTTGATCTTTTCGATTCTACTGCCGTTATTTCCAAGTAATGAAAATGAAAATCGATCTGTAAAAAAGAAACAGAAATGTTATTTAAAAGAAAAAAAATTGAAAAGTAAGTCATTGAAAAGTAAGCAAAAAATTATTCACCCTCGTTGGCACCTTTGCTGCTAAAAGGAATAAACGACATGGCGAAAATACCTGCAAATAAAAAAATAGTAAACAAACTAAACAAAAAAAGTTCATCGTCTATTGTGACAATTTTCACAAAAATATCACCCACTTTTCGTGTTCAACTTCTGTAACTCTCTTCTTTTAGCAAAAAAAATACTATGACTAATTTTTTGCTACTGTATTTGGAACAACGTTTTTGATCTCATGAACCATATAAATTATAATTGATAATTTACACAGATGGGAGTGGCCTTGAGATAAATTTATTCACTACTCCAAAATACGCCTGATTCATTAACTAAATTAGTTACTTAAAAAAAGTTTGAAAATTAACCAAATACAGCTATAGCAAATATTAGTATAGATAGTATTGAATAAACAGAATAAACAACAATAAAAGTCTCAAAATTTATATTGAACTAAAATTAACAATTTTCTATTTTTACAAATACAATTGTAAATTCATGAAACAAAGTTCTTTCTAAAACTATAATGCGTATTAAAAAAATTGTTGATCATTAAATTAAAGCCAAAATAATAAAGACAAACAAATTTACAAAAGATTATTTTTTTAAACAAACATGTCATTAAAAAACACTAAAAATAACATACCAGCACACGATTCTCGAGTTTATCGGGTTTAGTTTCCAATTTAACGACAGTCTTCAGCAGGATCTTGACATGTTTTCCGAGCAATGATTTCACCGATTCTAAGAAAGTGAGATACTTAATCACAGGGTCAAAGTAGTTTATTAAAATTCATGTGCTTCTTTACTTTTTAATGAAAGAAAAGTGGGGAAAAAAACATTTTTTTTATAATTTACATTTTTTACTAAGAAAAAAAAGTATCTTCGAAATTATTTTCAAAGTACAAAGAGTATTTTTTTTCTCATTTTTTTTTTTTTGGTATTGTTAATTTCTTTGAATGGCTGAACTTTGCCACTGCGAATTTGACAGATCGAACACAGAACATAAACATCCCGGGTAAAACTCACCGTTTAAATCCTTCGTAAGCTGTGATCTAGTAGACATTTTCACTTATTTTTTAATTTCAAATACACTTGGGATTATTCAAGACATTATCCGTGAATTGATACTTGATTATTTGCCGGAATTGTTGACATAAATTCGAAAGAAATGTCAACGGGGCGATGTCAGCACAAGAAAGCCGCCATCTTGCCAAAAATTACAGACAATACTGCCAACTGAAATTTTATTTACTTTTATGGCAACACTGTTTTTTAAAATCAAAAAATTTTAGAATTAAAATTTTTATCAATTTTTATCGAAACTTAATAAAAATGAGAATTTTAGTTTTTGATCCTATTTTATTTGTTTTTTTTCAGATAAATATTAACAATTTAAAGAAAAATAAACATAAAATTCAAAATGGCGGTCAGCAGGTGTCTTAAAAATGCAGCCAATAGAATAATTTAAATGTTAAAAAATATTTGATATTTTCTTCAATTATATTATTATAAATCTTAGTATTAAAAATAGTAAACTTACAAATAGTTTAAATTGTATTATAGAGAATAGATAAAAAGTTTTGTATTATAATTTATAAGGAAACAATAAATGGTTTATACCCTTATACCAATATACCAGGATTTTATTTACCGTAATTTGGTAGCACTGTACAGAAACATTCAGAATCGTTCTCCCCAATAATCATCACATTTTGGCGTCTGCCAGAGAGCATCTGCGATATTTTATTGTGTTCATCATGGCTTCGACTGGTAATTGTTAAAAGTCATTTATTAAAATTTATTTTGTTTTGAAACATAGTGTACATTAATTGTTTAGCTCGCAGAACAAAAGCAATCAACAATTTCGAATAGAGTTATAATATCAACATAGAGAGACGATTAATAACTTTATTGACAGCCTCTTATATTAAAGAGTGTAGTTTTGCAAAAAAAAATACTCCTTACTTTTCATGCTTTTCATGAATCTTGAAATTCATAAAGAAATTTGAAAATGTCTACTTTTTTAGAGGATACCCTAGATTTAAGCGGTCAGGGTCTAAAAAAACTTGCTCGATGCCCATCGGATGCTGATATTCACATTTTAATCGTCGATGACAATGAGCTTCAACGTCTTGATAATCTCGATTCTTATCAAAGAATCACCAAGGTATTATAGATTTTCTATTTTTCTTAATTTTGATAAAAACGATCAAAACTGCTTTAACAGCAATCGTTTCTAGTGGAATGTCAAGTGATTTTTCAAAACGTGGCCACTTGTCAACAAACGTGTCTCATTCATTATTTATATTAGAAAACTATATGAGTATATTTGTATATATTTTGTTATTTGTAATGTTTTTATTTTGTTTAATCGTTTTATTTATTTAAACAACTGTTTTTCTACACTTTTAATGTATTTAGTATTAATATCATTAATGTTAATAATTTATTTTTATAATATTGATTCTACTTATAGGCCATTGATTTTTTTTTGCAAAAGACTTTCTATAATTTAGTAGTTTAGTTTTTGACGTTTTTTACAGTTGAAACTTTCACAGTTGAAAATTCTTCGAATAATAATTCGTTTTTAATAAAATTTTTTTATACGTAAACTAAGAATTATTTTACCATTTTTTTGAATTTTATTATTTATTAAAATTTTTAGCTCTCTATAGTAAGAAATCAATTACTTCGAATGTATGGAGTTTCAAAAGTACACAATTTAGTTACATTAAACCTTGCAAACAATGGAATATTACAAATCGAAGGTATCAAGGACCTGGTGAATTTACAAACTCTCTGCCTCGCTGGTAACAATATTAAGGTGAATTTCAATTTTTATGGTTTTTTAATTTTCCTTTAGTTAATGTTCTTCAATTAAACAATTTTGTTTAAAATTTAAAAGAAAATTAACTAAGTTTTACAATTGAAAACTATTTTCACAATATTTTACAATTTGAAAAACATTTATATTAAAATTTGTCGTGTTTTTTTGTTCAATTAAATTTTGTTTACAGTCCATCGAGCATTTACAAACAAATGTAAAATTGGAGCACTTGGATCTGTCCGAAAACAGCATTAGTCACGTTTCGGATATATCGTTTCTGAAAAGTTTAAAGGTAGGAAAAATTTACATTTCATTTACCTTCTCTCGAGTAGTGAATGTTTTAATACTATTTAATGATCACTAATGTTTTGCTATTTACTATTTTAGGAACTGTTTTTGCACAATAATCGCATAATAACTTTACGCCAATGCGAAAGATATTTGCCGCCTTCTTTAGAAACGCTCACGTTAGCCAATAACAATATAACCGATTTAAATGAAATGTCACATTTAGTGAATCTTACGTACCTCGTCAATTTCTCAATCGCAAACAATCCGTGTGTCAGCATGACAGGTAACGATATGTATCCTTTTTATTCAAACATTTCGACATTTAATCATTTTCTCCGATTATAAACAAATTTACTTCCTTGAGGAAAATTTATAGAATATTTTCATTAATTAATTTTTTATAAATTAAAGAAAAATAGTTATTGATTCTAACGTTTTATTCTCTTTTTTTAACTCTTTTTTTTATTAGTCTTTAGATACATTTCCTCTTTAGTAGGAAATGTAGTTGTAGAATTTAATCCCTCTTTATTCAGGGATATAGATTTTTTTTCTTAACCAGTAGATTATAGTGGATTTGATTATCGCCCTTTCATTATCAACTGGTGTTTGAATTTGAAATCAATCGATGGCTACGCAGTTGATCCAATCGAGAGGTGAGTATCATTTGAGAGTTGTATATTATTTAAATTTTCTTTTTCTCTACTTTAAATTGAAAAAAAATTACGCAGTCTAAAGGCAGAATGGCTCTACTCGCAAGGAAGAGGTCGACAATTTCGAATTGGGGAGCATTCGTTGCTGGTGCAATATCTCGCGTCAGTTTGTCCACTGTCGGGTGAGTCACTCGAAAATGAAACCGACCGAAAGCTTAGGCTTATTTTGTGTAAAGCACAGCATCATCAAATGCAACTGAGTCAGCAGAGCGATTCAGGCAGCGTACATAGTCTTAGCAGCGTTGGAATGAGTCCTTCACCAGCAACTAGGCGTAGACTTAGTAATAATCGAAGCTCTCCCAGACGACCGAGTGAGTCTCCTTTTAAATTAGATGTCATTTCCATTCTCTCATCTTACAAACAATTTACACAATTTTCTCCAATCGGAAATTGCAATTCTCTTTTTGAAAAATATTCTTTGAATAATTTAGAATTAGATTAATAATAAAGTTATAAAAATTAATAAAAAATAGAAAGAAAGAAATAAATAAAAATACGAAGTAAAAAAGAGAATTGTAAATTTCGCTTGGAATTTGAAACGAAATTATCTTGTTACACGACATGTTTCCTGTTATACATTTTGTGTTTCCCAGTCACGCCGACCTTAGAGTTCTATGAAGATAAAAATTATCAAACACGAAAATTTTACAACGCAAGGTTCTTCCCCTCGCCTTGCAAAGGTACAACACGCTATCAAATGTCAAAACCTTTTAATCTATAATTTTCGGCTTCTAGTGCTGTTCAATTTTTATGCTATTCATTAAATTTCTAGAAAAGCGTGCGTGAGCAATTGAAAGAAGGCTGAAAAAAAATTTGTTGCAACATTTAGCCGGAGAACTTGTTTTCTAACGCAAATTCTCTACGTTAATAAAGTAGGAGAAGAAACTGCGATAGAAAAAGAGTTCTCTGAGGGAATTAGTAAACAGTTGCACTAGTATTTCTAATGGCAAATTTTCAATGCACTTTTTTTTAACAAAAAATTCAAGATGTTTGGAAAATGACATTAGTGGTGAAATAGATTTTTTGAAAATAGGCTCATCACGCAGTTCAATGAGGATGCAATCACCGGAGCGAATGGTCAGCAGTTGTCACACCGATGCCATGGTTTCGTCTTGTCACACTCTCTTAAGTCACGATCATCAGTTGATGACGCAAAGTCTGGATCCGAATATGCTGTCCAACACACTCAATAAATCATTGAACAGCGGACCACTACAAGACGTTGAAGGTATTTTCACTCAAAAGAATATATTTTTTACTATTTTATCTATTTTTTACTATTATTTTTGCCTCATATTATTATTTTCTAATGAAAAAGTATTTAAAGACTATTTTGTTCTTCCCCAGAAAAATCGAGTCCCCTGCAAGCAGCGACGAAACTCGTACCAGTACCTGAATCGTTAATGAGTCCAGATTTTCGACCACCGTCGGGACTCTCGCGAATTTTACCGATAAAAACACCGCCTAGTAAATTAAGTTCGCCTGTACAATTTTTATCATCATCAACAACAACAGCAACAACGCAACCGAACAAAATAGTACCTTGTGAAGTAACAGTGAAAACAATGCCAATTTTCACTGCAGAGACACCGAAAACCAATTCAGCAAAATCGAATACTACCGTTAAATGTAATTTAGCATCGAATTGCAGTCCTGGCAAGGCGAACATTGCAAAACCAGTTGTCACGAGCACTAATGGCAAACATCCACAAAGTGTGAAGATAAACAATTACGTGCAAAGTAAAACTTTGCCGATGAAAAAGAACGCGAGAAATTCGCCAAATCTCGGTAGATGTAAAGATCAAAAGTCAAAGATACAAGAAGTGATTAAACCGAGTCCCTTGAAGAAATTCGGCAATGAGGAAGTGAGTAATGTCAGTAATGTGAGTAGCGATGAAGAGAGCGAAGTTTGCCAGGCGAAATTGAACAGCATTCGGCACAGAGCTGTTCAACGGCAACATGAGGATACGAATAAAGGTAAATTTGACACCAATATTTATTCTCTTAATCCAAAATATTTTTTAGTTTTAAAATTAAATTCCTAGTCGATACTATAATTATTATACCATCAACACTAATTATTTTTATACTTTAATTACATTTATTCTTTTAATCCAAAACATTTTTTAGTTTTAAAATGAAATTCCTAGTTAAAAGTGACAATAATAAGTGGAATTTATTTTCAAGTTCAAAACGATCCGACCGAGAAGGCGGCGATTTGCATTCAGAGAATGTGGAGAGGCTACCACACGAGGAGCGCCGACAGGAAGACCTCAGATGTATTGAAAGCAATCGAAATGATGAGAACGAACAAATACATTCAGTGAGTTTAAATATTGTTTTCAAATTATGAAATTTGCTAAATTTAAAAAAAATATGTCTACATAAATTTCTCTTTTTCTAAAAGGAAATTATCATCCGATATGGAAGCGACGCGAAACGTTCTCGAGAACGAGCACAAATTGCAGTTGTTACAAATGCAAGCAATCAATGCCTTATGGAAAAAAGTCGTTGCTCTCCAACCGGCGAATGAACGAGAAAGTGCATCCACTAATGGCGATGGAATTTCAAATCCCAACATGGATGTTGTAAATAACTTGGCACAGACCTGTCACATGTTACATAATCAGGTATTTTCGACAACTTGTATTTTCCTTAAATTTCATCCAACAGATTTGTTCCAAATTCACATTTAACAGGGTTCGAAATCCCGTAAAGGTTCGTAAATTTGCATGAAGTCCGTAAAAGTCAGTTTTTTTGAAAAAAGGTCCGTAATGTCCGTAATTTGATTAAAAAAAGACGAAAAGTTATTAATTACTCAATTACTGAATATAATTTTACTGAATTTCACAGGTGCAACAACTTCAGGACTCAGTGACAGAAATAAAACGTTGTATGTCGACAATTCAAACAAAGCCACAAATGGTTGATAATGGAGTGAGTACACAAACGGAAATATCCGCCGTTCATACTCCAGCTGGTGAGGAAAATGTTTTTCCCTATCATCGACCAAATAGGCCTCAATCATTAGCAATTCATCAAACGATTCAGGAATGCAACGAAAACAAAAGTTTCGCCTCTAATTTAGTTGATAGTGTATTAAAGAAAGTATCACAATCCGCTGACATGACAGACGACGAGGTAAATACAGATATTTTCAATTCAAATGACAATCCCGATGGAATGAATTCATTAGAAAATCCCGACATAAGTTGCGATGAAATAATGGAATCCTTGTCGAAAAATGACGAGGGATTGGGTGAGGAATTTAAGAATATTATTGAAAAAAATACAAAGAGCAGTGGAACTCTCACTGTCGATTTGGCAAATGATTCGAAAGATATTAGCAATCCAAATATTGAAGAAGTCATTTGCAAGGAATTACTTCAAAGTATGATGGAAGTGGATTTAGGCACAAAATTTAATGGCGATTGGAAGAGAGTCGGAAATGTCAGTGATAAAGCGGAGAATTTAGAAAATTAAGTTTAAGAGTAAAAATTATAGCTAATTGCCTTGTTATTGAATATAAGATTAGACACAAGTTTCCTAATTATAAAAACTCGTGTCTAGAGGAATGGTCCAAAAAATTATACTCATTTTTTCGAAACTTGTAATTGTTAACAAACAGAATCACAATTTTATAATTTGAATTCAGTGAATTTGATTTTCGCTTTCATGTCAATTGTAAATTAGTTATAAATTAGTTTTATTACAAATAATTGAAAATCATTTCTATTTTCCATAAGAGATTAGATTTTTTGGACTATTCAATTTAAAAATAAGAAAAAAAGAACCTCGCTGGAGAAAATGACAAAGATCACACCAAATTGATAAATATAAACCAAAAGCGCTCGCTGTAAATATAAAAGAGCCGTGAAAGCTTTCTTGGAGTTATCTTTAAAAGATCCTGTTTTAATTTATAATCATTTTTACAAGAAAAAAAATAAGAAATTCATTAGGGCATTTTATATTTCGTTATTCCTTTTTTTAAAAAAGCACTATCGTTATTTGGCACCCTAAATAGTATTAATAGCTACTTTATTAAAATTAGATTTGCTCTAGTTTTTAAAAAATCACTTCTTTCAATTATTTCTCAAAACTTATCCGTCCTGCTAAATTAATGTTACACACGCATTTTTCTGGACGAATTTTCGAAAGTTTTACTAACTGGACTTTATTCACGCAGAAAATTGATTCTTCAATGATAGATTTAACTTCGCTTCTAGGATTATAAATTCTAGTCAGTATTCGTAATCTTTTTTTTTTAAATTAAAAGAAATGTTAAATCTACACTGTAAAGCTTAGGTGCGTTAAACTCGATGTTGCAGTTAAGTTAAAACTTGAAAAGTTTCGTAATAAGTAATTTAATAATTTGTGATATAATATAAATGATGTTATTTATTTCCAGAAGTACATTCCATGTTGCACAAAAAAAAAGAAACAAATAGTAATTTTTTATCTGCAGAATGTTTTTCCTTTTCTTTTTTGTAAAGCTTCTGCAGAATAATCTAGCTTTGTGCTTCTCGCATTATTATATATAATTAATATTGTCATTCTGTCAGAAAATATTTGTTATACTCATCAAAAATGTAGTTTTATTGTTTTTTTTCAGTACATTGAACTCATTTTCAAAAATTATTTTGTACTTTTTTTTCGATTTACAATATTTATTTTTGTACTCTTTTCATCCAAGATCAAATTTTCGCTTTTGTAGAGTTTTAAATTTAAAATAAAACCATTAGATAAGTTCAAGTTGATTAAAAATATTTGTTTACCATCTAATATAATGTTTATGTAGTAAAAAAAATCTTTTTGTAATTTTAAAAGCGATAAACATATTATATATTTTCAAGAAAAATGTTTTATGTATATTACAATAATTCCACAAATAGTGAAGTAAAATCAAAGTTCGTTTCTTTCCCCTATTAAAATACAATAGGCCCTTGTATTATTTTTCTTCGTTAAGAGGTTGTATCTTCGATGTAAACGTTTTACGAAAAAAAATATAAAAATCTAAATTACTTATAAATATATCTCACAGAAGTGTATTAATTGTCAGTTTAAATTTCTATTTCAAACTGACTATTCGTCTTTCTTTCACATGTATTTAAATATACAAAATTCAATTGTCCCTTTATTAAAAAGGGATAACGACTGAAAAACAAATTTCCCCCTGGAAAATTATTTAAAAAATCGAAAATATTTGTTTTTAAAAATGTAATGTTACATTTTTCCAAAAAAAATAAATAAAAAAAAGCGAAGTATTCTGATTGTAGAATGTAGATTTTGAGACTACATTGTAAATAAATTGATTTCAACTTCAAGAGAATATTTTCTTTCTTTACAAAAATTTTTGTATCTTTGTAAATTTTTCAGTGAGTTAAAAAAATATTTTTTTTTGATTTTAAAAATACCTATTTCGTTTTCGCATTATTATGTACAAATTATTATTTTGTTTCATTTAAACATTCTTTTGAAAGTTTCCTTTTCAACAATTAAGTACGAATTCATTACCTTTTTGACTTTATCGATTTCTTGTAATATATTTTTGTTATTAGGACATTCTTGATTCGCTTGTTTGAGGTCCAAAAGACACATTTGGTATTCATTTAAGCCGAAGTAAGCTTGACTCCTTCTGAATAGTGCTTTTCCGTTTGTTTCATTTATTGCCAAAACCTATTAGCAGAGAAGGGGAATTTTAACACATTTTTAATAAAATTTGTAACGATTTTTTTTCACTAAAAATTAATTTTGTTACAAAGTTAATTAAAAATAATTTGCCTTGCCTTATTGCAGAGAACGAGTGCCTCCTTAAATTTTCGTTGTTTTAATTTGACAGCAGTAAGATTCAAAAGTAGGACGATTTTTTGATTTTCGAACGATTTATCAGGTTTGTCTAGTAAGTCTTTTAAGTTCATCATCCAATCATAGTATCTCAGGGCCTTTTTATATTTTACATTAGCAACCATATATTTTCCATTCGAGAAGTGAAAATTTCCCGAATCTTTAATTTTCGTGATCACTTCCTCAAGATATTTGTACTGAAAAATCCATTTTCAACTTCTGTTCATTAAATTTCACATTTAGATTTCTTTCACATTGTAAATTTATCTTTCTAATTGTTCTTTTTTTCAAATAGGATTTTATTGTCCTATTCAAGTAGGATTTTTCCCATGGGAAAAATACTTACACTAAGTTTTTCGGATTCTTGATTCCAATCCTCTGGCCAAAGTGTATAAACATCGCCGGTCTCGTCATTATCCTCTAATCCCCAACTTTCACCCTTTTTCAATTCTCCACAATTAATTATTGACACGTTCTGAAATAAAAAGGAAAATTAGTATTAATTATCCTGAAGTCTATATTTATTACGAAATTGTTTAAATAAATGAAAAACATTTATTACCTCTTCTGGTTTCTGGCTTATAGTGGGAACGTTATTTATTTCCATAACTGCTCCCATGCCTTTTCGAACTTTACCGAAAACGACATTTGTATCGTCCAAATGTCGACATGACATTGCCGTGATAACAAATTGTGAACTATTAGTGTGAGGTCGACCCTCATTCACCATACTCACCAAACCAGCATCCAAATGAGGAGTTTTTAGGCTTTCGTCCTCGAAATGAGGACCATAAATACTTTCGCCACCGGTGCCATCGAAATTTATAATGTCTCCCCCTTGAATCATGCAGTGAGACACGACTGGAAGAAAATAATTTTATATAAATATTTAAATCTGATATTTTAATAAGATAATGATAAATTTTGTAGTAGAATAAAAAATAATGCATTTTGTAATAGAATAAAAATAATAAATTTTGTAATAGAATAAAAATAATAAATTTGAAAAGAGAATATTTTTGTGAAAAAGTTTTACCTTTATGAAAAATAGATCCTTTATAACAAAGTTTTTTTCCATTGACACCAATTCCTTGTTCTCCGGTGCACAATGATCGGAAGTTTTCTACTGTACGTGGTGCTAAATCTTTGAAGAGTTCAATAATAATACGTCCGACTGAAAAAAAATTCCTTCAATAATTAAATGCGTATAAAGTACGTTTAGATATTGCTGCATTAAATAACTATATTATCGCTTCTCTCACCTACGTTTAATACATACAAACATAAAATATAGTTTAATACAAAAATGTCTAATTGATTTTTGTAATTAAGAACACTTGTTCTGTGTTATAAACAAAAACAATTGCTCCAACAATTTTGGAGCAACAATTTAAGATAAAAGTAAATAATTATCTAAATTACTAATCTTACTGTCAAATTGATGCCAATTATTGTCAATTTAACTCCACTTTATTATTTCCAAGCGTATTTGCATAAATAAAAACAAAAACAATTTTTAAAAAGTAAACATAACCTCACTTACCGTACTCCTCACCGATAGCAATGTCTAAAAATACAATTGGATTCTTCTCCGATTGATAATTATCAAGATCTACCTCGAGTGCACGTTTCATCTTTTATTAGTTCAATAAACTTTTAATAATACTCTCTTAATTTTATCAGAGATATTATAAACGATAATAAACAGCAACAATGCATGGCAGTTGATTAATGCACACTGACAGTCTCTGACACTATGAACCGATTATCAATCAATAATAATAAATAAAATTTTTTAAAAACACAAGCGTATTCAAAATATAAACATAAAACGTAATTTGTTTACAAAAATGATTTTTAAAAAATGCTGAACTTTGCAAAAAACATAGGCTCCACCGAGATTTGAACTCGGATCGCTGGATTCAGAGTCCAGAGTGCTAACCATTACACCATGGGGCCTTGCTGAAATACCTTGAATAAAACAGTGACTTAAACTTTATTTCCGAAAATTAAAAAATTCGTTTATAAAATGTATTCATTTGGATAAAATTAATAAAATTGGGAAAAATTAGCGAAAAACTGGAGCTAAATATTTACTGTATAAAATATTTCTAAAAAGTGCTTTAAAAGAAAGAACCGATTTTGTTACGCCCCTGAAGTCAGAGCCGTAGGAAATCTGGTATTATTAATTTAAATCAAAATAATTCTCTTGTTAAAATCTATTCAAGAGAATTATTAAAAATTATTAATTAATAAAAAAAAAACTTTTTTTAAAGTGAAGATACAAACAAGATCATTATATCAAATATAAATAGTGATTATTTTATTTTCAATTACATAATTATTAATTATTAATTATTAATTACTGATTATGAATTACTAATTATTAATTACTTCAATTATTTTCAATTACTTTTTTTCGTTTTAAAAACTGAAATTATATCTAATCTGCAATTAAAAATTTACAGATACCATATAGTTGGTAAAATTTCTATTTTATGTACAATACAAATTTATAGAGAAATTAGAAATAATGAAATTAATTAAATTAATGAAATTTATAAAATAGATCAAATGTATAAAACGAATAAAATAGATCCTAAAATTAATATTTACAATTTGGCGAAAGCGCAAAAATTGAAATATTGCGCTTGTCGTTAAGATCAAAATAAATATAATTGTACAAAACTCACTTGAACAATAACAAAATGACTATTATTGAAAATTCCACTTTCTGTTCTTGGCGTAAAAAAATCCAAATAAAATTTAAATCTTGACAGCAGGTGAAGCGGCGAGATGAATTCGGCAATAATTAAGATTCTTCATGGCCTTTCCTCGACATGGTTTTCCACTTCGCGTCAATTCACAGCATCTGTTCACGTATCCGCTACTGTCGACAGGAGTTTTACTGTGGAATTTAAATTAAAATTAAAATTTAAATTACGAATTTAATTAAAAAAAGTAAAAAACTAAAAAAGTGAATAAGAGAAGCAAATAAGAAATTAATAAGAGATGTTTGGAAAAATAAGAACTTTAATGATTTACCTTCGGGAAATATTGTGTCGTTGTCTCATAGCCCACAAGTCTTCCCTTATCGAATAATGTTTATGGGATAAATCAGATTCCGAAAGATCATCAGACATGTTTGGAGAATCGAAACTTACGTAATTGTACGGCTTCTTTTGAATGTAAGAGCAAGTGAGTTCTTCTTGTAATATTGATTGATTTCTTTGTACATGGAAGATGTTCACAATTTTTTCTACAGAAAAAAGATTTCAAATTAATTTTAAAATAAGACATACACATAAAAACATAAAAACTTCAGGAACATAAAAGTTACGTAAAAATAATAATTCTTACTTGTAATCACGTCAATAATATAGTGAATTCTATTGAATAATAAATAAAATTTCGAAGAGATTGTATTGTAAATTTCACTGTATAATGGTCCTTTTGTAGTACTATCAACATTTTTCGAACAATCGTGAGAAACGCCATTCTCTTTATTCTGATTTTTCAAGTTTGTAGAATCCTTTTCGCTCTTTTCGTTTTGCTGAAGATTTTTCGATTCTGTCTTTCTTGGACCACAAAGATACTGAATGGTACTCATCACATAGTGCACTAAAAATAGAAAGCATAGAAAGTATCAAATTAAATGTTAATTTTGCAAAAATATCTTTATAAAAAAATTTTCACAAAAATAATAAAAACTTACTTATTGTTATTAGAATAATAAGAGCTGTAATTGAGAAGAAATCTAGAGACGCTTCCATCCCGTGTTTTAAGTACGCTGTCAAATTTAAGGGAATAATTCCCAATATCGTCACTCTCGTTAAAAACGGTGCTTGCAAAAATCCGGCAACAATCATGGCAGTCAATATGTAAATTACATGCAAACATGTGCGGTAAACTTTTTGCATTTGTAAACCTTAAAAGAATATTTTCGCTTTATTTAAAATTAATACTTAAACTATTTGTTAGATAATTATGAAATAAAAATACGAAATTAATAAAAATACGAAAACAATACAAATACGAAAATAATTAAAAAATCGAAAAATGAATAAAAATAGAAAAATGAGTAAGAAAAAAGTAATAAATATGTTAAAATACATATTATGTAAATTACCTGTACTGCTAATATAATCAGTAATCCACCCCAGTTTCTCGTCGACATGCTTGTGCAGATTCCAAACAAAATTAACAGTCTTATTAATCTGCTCGAGTTGTTCCAAAGTCCGTAAATATTGATCGGCAGCATCTTGGTTTTGTTTTAAAATATTATTCGTACTGTTCTCGAGTTTCTCCCAAAGTTCTTGTATCGCCAACAAATCGTTCATCACTTCCTGATGATTTATTTTACGATCAGATTCTTGTCGTACCATTTCGTCATTTGCTTTCACTGAAAAATTAACATTTTTTTCTTATTAAAATAAAAGCTTATTAAAAATACTCTCTTTTCTTATTTTAAAAGATTAAAAATTTTAAACCATACTTTCTTTGCAATTTTTTTCCATTTTTTTCTTTTCTTATTTCTTTTCATATCAATTTTTTAAATCTAACCTAATTTCTCTTTAATATCCTCAGTCATCGTAATGAGTTTCGAATGTCCCAGACGGATTAACGCCTTTTCCATCGTTAATTCCCGAAGATTTGAAGCGACGAGATTGTGTTGCTCGAGCAATTTTTTATTTCCCTTTTCAATCAATGATAATGCGTCAACTGTTTCTTTTTCCAGTTTCTCTTGATTTTCCTAATTCGTAAAGTTTATAATCTTTAATTATTTACAATAACTTAATGTTAAATGTTGCTTAAAATTAAATATATCACTCAAATTAAAGTTTTATTTTCCTTCGAAGAAAATTCTCCTCAAACATAAAATAACAATACAAAACATAAATTAAATTTCAATGTACCTGTAAATTCTCCAGAACCTTGATTTGCGAATGTGTTGTTTGCACTAATTTATTAACAGTTAATTCAGTTAAAGCACGAAATTGTAAATTTCTCGCGGAATAACAAACTGCTCGAGCTCTATTACTCATGAGATGGTAAGCGTTCCACATATCGGCGTCCATCTCCGTTGTGCATTGTTTCAATGACTAAAAAATGAAAATGTTAATAACTTTTTTTGAAAAATATTATCGTTTTCTATAAAATAATATTTTTTAAAAATAATTACTAAATAATAATTATATAGTATTTAATAGCGTTACTTTTGTGTTTGATGGAAGTAAATTAATTCCAATGTCACACAAGACTGAATGTTGTTGTATATTCGAAAAGGGATAAAAAAGGGAATGAAGCTAAAAAGAGGGGGGAAGTAAACAAGTCTAAACCTGCAGCGAAGTTTTTGTAACAGTAGTGGTGTAGTAGTAGAAGTATTAACGTATTTGTGTCATGTTTCTAATATTTTTTTTATCACAAATTTTTATTCTTTCAAATATTTTTACTGACAATAAATCAAATTTTCGGATTTTAATATAATTTATCCTAATTTTCTATTATGTTTGATATTAAAAAGAAAAAAAATAAAATGAATATATATTCAAATATTTCCTTATTTTATAATTTTGCTGAAATTTTATTTTTGGTAATAATTTTATTATTAAATTATTTTTTACTTTCTGAAAATAGATTGTAAATTTTTTACAAGTTTTAATTTAATTAACGAATTAAGAGAATTAAAATTTAAATTAAAAATAATAAATTGCTTCATACCATGTCTTGAGTACAAGGATAAATTTTCCTGCCTTCAACTAAAGACTGACAATTAAGTAAATTAACACTTAATTTCGCCAAATCTTCTTCTGACATTTCATTGCAAGAGGATCTGATTTTCAAAATAACTTTGTGATAGCAAGTTTCGAGCGGTGACGACACTTGCATCTCGGTGAATTTAGCGGCTTCCTGGAGAAATTTTTCATCGTCAGTCATTGATTCATAAGGAATGGAAATTAAAGGAACACCATCTGAAACCAAAAGAGTTGACTCCTTCTGTCCTCTGTCCCACAGCCAACTGAGAATAGCCGATTCCACACGAAACGTCGAAAGTGTCAAAAATATCGTCAAGATTATTGGATAATACATTTTCATAAAATACATTTTCTTCGAAGCATCTGCAAGTTAATTATTTATTATTATTTTATTTATGTATTATTTATATTATTTATTGCAAAATAATTGTTCGCAAGTACACGAAATTAAGAGGTTATAAACAAATACTCGTTTGTCATAAACAAAACAACTGATGACACTTACTGACACTTACTGAGAAAAAAACTAGACGTAGACGAAAATTGAATAACAATGGTAATTAATTTTTTATAAAAGCATCACTGTTACGAGAAAAGACAAGTGCAAAAATTTGTTTACAATCGCAGACTAAATAGATTCGGACAATTCAACACAAGGTCAAGTTTATACAACTATTTACATCGAAATTAATGTCGTATTATAAAAAGAGACTTACCAAAAATTGATATGATGCCAAAAATTCGTTTAAACTTAGAGATAATAAGTGAATTTAATAAATAAATCTGCGAGGATGACAAGTATGTTTATGTTTTGTTCAACGGTCATTCTATTCATGTCATTCATGTGCGCACTAACACCTGCAAAATTTAGACCGACCAATGGGCGACTGCAAATTTAAAATAGCCGTCTCTGATTTGATACTGTTGATCACGTGACCAACATAACCTCAAAATTGTAATCGAATATCTGAAAAATTAAATTTATCAAATTAAAGAATTAAAACAATTAAAATGATTAAAATCTTAAAATAAATCAAATAAATTTAGTTAAAATAACAAAATAAAACATAAATAATAAAATACTACGTTTATGTAAATTTAAAATATATAAAGTCGTATTATATTTCTTTTTTGTAAAATTTACAATTTAAAAAAAATGCTTTTCCAAAAAAATACTTTTTTAGTAAATTTTCCGGATTTACAGTTAAATTTCTATTTATCAAATTAAAAATCGAATTATTAGTTAGTTAGGAAATCAATTTTAAAAATACTAAATTGTTTAAAAAATTAGTTTTGCTATTATTTTATGAAAATAAAAATAGTTCAACATAAATAAAAAATTAACTTAATATAAACTTTTTATGAGGCAAAAGATTTTTTCTCGAAATGTTTGTTTTCTATATTACATAGTTAATTTGTATTTACAAAATTAAATACAGTTCGTGATTGTTTGGTAAGAAGTTTAGAAAAAATTTACTTTTCTATTTTTTTTCTACAACGACTTCACTGATTCCATACATTCCTGCCAGCAATCTTCCGTGACTTATTGGTACAGGTTCCTCTGGTGCTAAATAAGGTCCATTTTCTCCCATGTAAACGTAACTGAATTGAAAGTTAAAGAAAAAATACTCTTTTAATCTGTAACTTAAGCTACACATCTTTAAAACGAATTTATCCTAATTTAGTAATAATTATTCCAATATAAATGTATAAAATAAAAATAATAATATATTAATAATAATTAATACGTGAGTTAAAATATTGCAAAAGGATACGGCAATCTCAAGACCCAGTAAGCACTTTGAGAGAGTTTTATTGGTTCCTCGCATCCGGTGACAAAAATAGGACATGGCGAAGGACCTGGTTGAACTCTTGGATTCAAGGTAACATGCACAGGTGCCTTTGGTGTCACAACGTGAATCCTCATGAGTTGAGCGATCAAAGGTTTCACCATTCTAAAATTTCATGAAATTATTTCTAAACTATTGAGTAAAGAAAAATAATACAAAATAAAGAAAGAGAATTATTTACCTGCAAGGACATGGAAAATAAAGCGGCATGTCCGCAGTGCTCGAGGTAACTTTATTCCCACTGTCCTTGACGATTCCATTTCCAGTGGCTTTTAGAACCTTATCAGGCGCCGAGGCCATGAATCTATGCCCCCTCGGACACTCATATTCAACTCCAACAAAAATTTTCACCACAAATTCCTTTCCCCCCTTCGATTTGCGGCCTCGTATTGTATTCAAATTTTGGAAATTCTTTCCTCGCGGACAGTAGCCGTGCTGTCCGTGATCGTTCACCATTGGCCAGAGTGATCCCTTATCCTTTTGATGCTCTAGCCTTGAAATTGCAAAGTTTTCAGAATTATTAGATGAATTTATTTTATTTATTTATGAAAAAGGAGTAATTTCAATTCCCTACCTGACAGTGACATCCCAGGGCAGGAGAAACGCTGAATTTGACAAAATTCCCGCCTGATGTTGTAATCCCAAATTATGTGAATAAAGACTACTGGGGCCAAGACACACGAGGGACCAACTGGAAAATTGAGGTAAAAGTCCAGCTGGTGATTCGGTGTGTAGCATTCCGGGTAAATACTCCGTTGTCGACGGTTGCCTTACCAGCGATTTTTCTGCAAATTGATAAAATTGATATAATTAATACAATTAATATAACTAATATAATTAATATAATTAACATAATTAATACAATTAAAGTTGTAAAATATAAAGTAAAAGTATTTATAAATTTTCTGTACTTTTTGATACCTTTTGCGTTTTCAGAATCATCTGACACCTCGATAACGACTTTGTGACTCTCGCTTGGAGTTAAACTTGTCTTACTGCTGAGTCTTTGTGCTTCTTCGTTAATAGGATCACTCGTCGGTGGTGATTGGCCTCCACTTCCATATGCGGTGATATTATCTAAATTTCAATAAATTATTCAATAAATTCAATAAATTAAACAGAAAAAAATAGTTCTTTGAACGATAAATTTACTCTTCCTGAATATCTTGACATTACCATTCAGTGTTTCCACTCCAAGACTGCAAACTTGAGTCTGACCCTGAGGAGTGGATAATTCGGCACGAGATATGGAATCTTTTCTGTTTGCTGCTGAAAATAACTGCGCCGCTCTGTTAGAAAAGAAACATCAAATTAATTCCACAATTTATATTTATTTACAACAATTTATTTAAAATATCAAGAACATTATTAATCCTCCAAGTTAAAAAGTGAAAATAAAACACAAAAATATTTATATTTAATACTCTTACGTAAAATTTAAAATTAGAAGAAACTGAAGAATTTAAGAAACTAATTTCAAATTCTTTTTTGGTTAATTATTGAAACTGTTATCTATAATAATTTGATTACTAATTACCTGAAATTATGTGTACTGGGTTGAAAAACAGGAAATTGGATGCTTTCGAGTTGTGAGCATCCACATTGTTTGGTCAACATTTGGAAGAAATCGTAATTGGCTTGTCGCAAATTAAAAGGATCTTCTCTTGAACCTTGACATCGGCCACAATTACAAGCGCAGACGTACCGAACTCCGGTGCAGTGTTTCATTATCGGCAATTCGCTGTTAAGTAATAAAGTTTGTTAAAGAAAAAATAAAAATAAATAAAAATAATCATATATATTTATAAGTTTGATTAAATAGATTTTATATCTATTCACCTATCATCTCGAGATTCGGCCAATTCACCACCACCTGCGCCTTCACTACCCCCTTTGTGAATTGGATTTGTACAAGGATTACCCGTTAGCGATAGAACTTCACACATTTGTCGACCAGCTTTCCAGTATTTCTCGCACTCCTCTTGCAATTGTTCACTAAATTCCTCGAATAAAGGACCTCGGGCGTGCATTTCAAAAACAGCTATCGCGTGTGCCAGTTTCGTTTCGTGATAGGCTCTATAAAAAAATATTATTAAAAAAGAAATTGAAATCATATTAAATATATTTTTAATTTTTGTAACCAATTGAGCTATTTACCTGGTGTAATGTTGGGGAAGATTTTCCTGATATGTTTGCAAAGCTCTCGGTAAGACTTTATTGCACCTGCTTTTGCTGAACTTCACATCGGTATCTAGTAAATTATACAAGAGTGTCAATTCTTTGCTTGTGCCTAGCACGAAGAAATCGTGGACTTTATTCGTTATTTCGAAAAATGTGCGAATAGTCGGAATCTGTAACAGACAAAATAATAATAATAAAAAGAATAAATAGAGATAAAATTTTATAACAGATAAAAGTTTAAAAAAAGAGAAAAACGAATTAATGAAACAATTGTTGTAATTATTCTTGTTGTTGTTATTGTAGCAAAATTGAACAAATATTTACCTCAAAATGAGCGGGAGCCGAGTGTCGTCCAACATTATCGTCGAAACCTTTGGCAAATGCGAGACTAATGTGTTGCTTTAAAAACTGACTAAATGTGTGAGACTCTAGAAAAATGGTTTTTAAAAATTAATTAAAATTACCTTCAATATTTTGTAATTTTATTCATTAAATTATTAAAATAGTAATTTACCAGAATCGGACTCGATGTTGATCAAATTTGAGTCAAGGCTAGCAAGACTCCTAGAGGTGGTGCCTCCTGAACTTACTTTACAACTCTGAATAAGCTTCTTGGCCATGTAACCCAAAATATCGCGAGATTCGGTTGGTCCTGTATGAATAAATACAAATTCCTGATTTGCCGGTATAGCGAACAATGAATTCGAACTGAAAAAATTTCAATTTACATATTAATTTTAGAAATTGGTACATTAATCTATAAAATCTAAAGAGATCTATAAAATAAAAATGATTAATTACCTGTTATTCGTGACAATGCGATTTTTTCTCAAAATTGAATAAATTTGATCCTCCAATGAATGCTCCATTTCTTTGATATTAGCTCCACTGTCCGGATCACGAAAAGCACTTGGACATGTCTCAAAATAAAAAAGAACTCTTGGCGAACAAGGCCTTACGTTCGATATCCATTCTTTCGATAAACCAGGAATGGAATTTAAGACATCTGACAATGGTACTGATGTCTTTTGTCTAGTGTCAAGATTAGGAATATATTTTTGATATTTTCAATATATTAAATAGAATTATTAATAAATTATTAAATTTATTATCAAATTATAAACTTCTCTCACCTGATTATGTCTAGTGCCCTAAATAAATGAATGTAACTAGTGTCGAAAATGGGTGTGGGATGACTTAGAACAAGAACGTGAGATATATGAAACAGCACCAGTAAACCCCTGGCGTATTTATCTCTCATATGTGCCCAAGCACTTAGAAAATCTTTACGTTCCTGTTTCTCTATAAATTTATCATACTCTTGAATTAATGTAGTCGTATCTAAAAATCCTTTGAGATGTAAATAAATAGTTTTTTCTTTCGCGTCGTGATAACCTTCTATTTCACACTGGAAAATAAATTGTTAAAAAAGAAATGTTAAGAAAAGATTCTTCTCAATAACTTTGATTTTTAATAATTTCTTCTATTTTAAATAAGAATATTTTACCAATAAAGATTCATCAACAGTTGGTTCATCCAAAAGGTCCACCTGGAGAACAGAACTCAACATGCCGGTCTTGCATCCTTTTGCACGATACTGAGACTTTCCAAAGACAGAGACTATCATTACCTTTTTGTCCGGATTTGCGAAACTAAAATAAAAATTAGCATTAAAACCTTGTGTTATCAATTTGAAAATTTTAATACAAGAAATTGCTGGAAAATTTAAACTTATAGTTAAATATATTTTCTAAATATTCGTTAATGTTACTCTTAATAAATAATTAAAAGTACCTTTCCACACCACATGGTAATATAAATTTTTGTGGACGCATGATACATAATTTGGTGATTATTTGTTTATATAAAAGAATCTGAAGAATCTTTAAAAGGACATTTTGAGGTTATGTTTGTAAACACAAAATAAACAAACTGCTATAAACTGCCTTTTTAAATTATATACGAAAAAATATTACTTATTTCTAATATGAACAATCAAAATTATTAGTTAAACTGCTTTTAATTAATAAATTTCTAATGGAAAATCTATTTCAAATAAATTTAAAAATGACACTTTTCCTGCTCTGAAAACTGCAAAATTTGCAAATTTGAAGGTTAGGTTAGATTGTCAAATGTCATTTCGCGTAATGGCGTAATTTACGTAAAGCCACGTAACGGTATTTAAAAATTGGACCTACCACCAGATGGCGCAGTGAATTAGATCATGCGCATTAGTCCCTTACTCCAATTTTATTGTGAAAATTCTATTGTCAGTGCTTTATCAAAAATTGTGATATTATCCTTAAATAAAGCAAAATTTGTCATCAATTTATTAACTATACATATGTTATTATCAGTATAAAAGAGAAATTTCATGGATCGCGTGGCGTCACGTAAATTTACAGCGCCGAGGTAAAGAAAATTCCCAACGAGCATGTGTTCTATTTTCAGTTTAACCTCAAATTTTAATTTTGTTAATTAATAATTAATGTTCCTATATTTGTACAAATTTTACTCTGTTCGATTGTTTCATTAATTACAACAAATTTGACTTCTTCATCGAAATCTGTAAACATTATTATTCTTCTTTTATTTATTTTGACGGGATTAAAACTTGTATTTTTTAACGTCGATTGCTTGTTATTTGTTTGTGTTCTTTACACACGAAATTCTTATTTTGAAGAAAAGAATTTTTATAAGGGCTTAGTGATTTCTCTTTTATTTTTGAAAAAGAATGTATTTCCAGTTTCGATATGGACGATGACTCGGATTATGCGATGATTAAACGGATCAAAATGGAACCTGAAGCAATGTTATCACAAGACGATGATATAATGGCACAATTACAGCAAGAAAGTTCGGATTTAGAGGTGGAACCGAGTTTTACTTTAGAGGGAACGACAAATGGCGATGAGGGAACTGATGGTATTTTAATGCAGCATATGGACATAAGGGAACCATTATCGAGGCTAAGGAGTCTCCTGGAGGAGAGACTTGGGGAGGATTTAAATGACTTTTCCTTCTGGTTGCAGGACACTCAAATGGTAATTATTTTTGAATTCGTCACTTTTGTTTCAAATTTTCAACCAATGTTGATGATTCTTTAATTTCTGCACTGAATCATTTTTGTAAAAATAATGTTACATAACTTTTTGTGAATTGTTATTGTAGAATATTTTCTAATTGTAGAAAATAACTGAATTCAAATTTAGATTTAAATTAGATTAATTTCGAGAAAAATTGAAATTAATTTTTTAATCTAGTTGGAGTGTCACAAAAATTTGGTGGATCAGTGCGTCCAAGGAGAGGGTTTGGTGCAAGTAAATGTTCAAATTAGATTTGCACAGAGACGTATTAATATCGTCGATGTTTTGAAACCAGCCGACGATTATGTGGAATTAGTCGATCACAGTCGTACGTATATTTTTTTCGAAAGAAGAAAACTATTTTCTTTTTTTTTAAAAAGTAATTTTCGATATTATGACTTAATTTAAATTTTACAGCTTCCACTACACCAGTATCAGACATGAAGAGTAATGTCATTAAGTGGACCATCGATCATCAGTACAAAAAAGAGCAGGTAAGAAATTACAATTTAATTTTTCGTTTTTTAATATCAATTACATTAATTTCAATTTTTTAAAATTAAAATTTATATTTGCAGGAGAGATTGAAAATTCCCTCGGATCCAAGAGATTGGACACAAACACAAGTGAAACACTGGCTCCAATGGGCAGTGAGACAATTTAATTTACCTTCTTTAAAATTGGCTGATTGGAATATAAGCGGCGCACAACTTTGCAATCTTACTCATGACGAATTCAAAACAAAAGTACCAACCGATCCAGGAGAGGTTTTCTGGACACATTTAGAGTTATTAAGAAAATGCAAATTTGTCGGTAATTATTCATTTTTCGTACTACAATATTTTTTTTCCTATTTAGAAAGGAAGGAAATTTAGATTATTCGAATTTATATTAACAATTTCTCCTTTTTTCTACAGCTGTCGTTCAAAATGATCCACCATCATCGCCCGAAGTGAATTTGGAAGTAATACCAAAAGTAAAAGCGCAAAAACAAGTGAAATCGAGAAATTTCCATAATCAAGTGTCGCGTGTCTATAATATGCCAATAGCAAATAATGCAGAATCGCCAATTACATTGGCAAGTTCGAGTCGAAGTGTTAATAGTGGTCAAATACAATTGTGGCAATTTCTATTGGAATTACTGACTGATCGTGAACATGTTGGTGTGATACATTGGGTTGGAACCGAAGGTGAATTTAAACTTAGTCAACCTGAAATTGTTGCACAACTTTGGGGAAAGAGAAAGAATAAGCCAACAATGAATTACGAAAAATTGAGCAGAGCACTTCGTTATTATTACGATGGCGATATGATTTCAAAGGTACACGGTAAACGATTTGTATATAAATTTGTCTGTGACTTAAAAGACCTACTCGGCTATTCAGCCGAAGATTTAAGTCGTCTCGTCACCGAGGGCGCCGGAAGGTATTATAACGATAATTTTCAATTTTAAAATTGCCTAAAAACAAACATTTTCCATTTGTTTTTTTGTAAATATTTTAATTTTTTCCGTATTAGTTATACTCGTTAATATTAAATATGTTTTATTTCAAAAAACTATGCTTTTAAAAACTACGTATTTTATAGTTGTATAAAAATTGCGAAAAAGTCCTTATATTTTTTTTATACATTAGACTTTAAAAAAATTGCAAGGACTACAAAAAAAGCCTACATTTATAATTAACAAATAGAGATCCCGATAATAAAGGAGATCCGAAACTCATAAAAAAGAATTAAAATGAATTTTTTTTTATGAAAATTATTAAAAAAAAGAAATAAAGATAGAAATGAAAATTTCATTATATGTAAAAATGATACATATATATACATATATATATATACTAAAACTTATATTTCTACGAATTTTTTAAACGGGATAATAAAAAAGTTTACAGTAGTTGTTATTGAAAAAAAATAAATACTATACATCTCTGTATTTTTATAAAAAATAAAATACAATCATTGAAGGGAAAATTTTTTATTAAGCAAATCTGTAAAGGTTACAAAATTTTAATAATGTTACAATGATTTCAATAATAAAATTTAAAAAATAAAAAAATACTCTTTTGCCTTTCAACAATTTTTCTGTTCTTTTTTTCAATGTTTATTAAATATTATTAATTATGTCAAGTATATTTTTAGTCAGAGTGTCTTATATTTTAAGAAGAAATTTACATATAATAATTATCAAAAAAGTCATTATCTGCATTATTTTTTTATTTACATACAATTTACATACAATTTAATAATTTTATAACCGAAGAGGAAAAAATATTGATTCTTTAGGAAGAATAAATATTTACTATTCAATGTAACGAAGGAAAATTAAAAATAACTTTCTTCCGCATAGACAAATTGAAAGTGCGACGAAAAAATCGAATTTCGTTTACAAGCAAAGTCACTATAAATTTGCCAGATAGGAGATAATTTTATACGGAACGTTTAAAACGCAGCAATTCAGATAATTATAGTAACAGTAACGTATGGTACAAACGTGACAGATCGGAGACGAAATTACAGACTTAAAAATTTTATTGTGCCAAATATGCGAAGTATGCACTGAAAAAATTTCTTTTTCTTTAAATAATCGATTATTTATTTATTATCGCAGATAAATATTTGTGTCAAATAATTTTTATTTTAGTTAATTAAATGGCATTTTATTTATATTTTCTTCGAATAATTAAATTATTGTTTCAAATATTTTCAAATTTGATTTAAATAAAAATAGTTCAAATTACAATTTATTCCAAATAAAAATTGTACAAATAACAATTCATTCGAAATAAAAATTGTTCAAATTTCAATTTTTTGAAAATAAAAATTATTCAAATAGAATTTACTCCAAATAAAATTTAATTAAAAAAGAAATTATTTGATTCAAGTAAATATTTATTTGCCAAATAGACAATCGGTTATTTGAATGAAATAAATTTTTCTCTAGTGTAGGAAAAATAAATAAAATTAGTTCGCCTTATAAATTAAAAAAGGGACAATTGAAAATTTCGAAAATTCCAATTTGCCAAGAGATGGAAATTGAAAGTAATATAGTTTAGAGAGGAGCGTAATTAAATTCTTATCTCTAAAGTAATAGGTACACAATAAGTAAGTGGGGGTGTGGAAATAAATCCCTTTCAGGTACATATGGAGGGAAGGGAACTGAGATAACATTTTGTCTAGGGCTCGATAACGTTTTCTTTCTTTTTTCTCTTTTTTTCTCAGTCTGATGTTTAAGGTCTGACTTTTGATTGACAAAAGACAGCTTCTCATCGCCAATACCAGAGAATCTAGCCTGTGAGATATCAGACGCGACGTCACAAGTTAGGGTCTCAGGGAACCGGCGACGCGGCAGGCTTTGTATTTTGCCCGCCTGCCATATTGCCCTTTTCTCTCTGCTCAGCACTTCCGCCACTTTTACTCAATTTCCCTTTTACATTCTCCACACAGCACACCTTTCCGCTCTCTGTGTATCTCTCTCTTTCTCTCTCTCACTCTCTCGTACTTTGCAAATTTATATATATATGTGTGTGTGTTACGCTCTCTCATTTCATTTTCATTTTACCTCACAGTCGAGTAAATTCCCATTCTCTGAATAGATTGAATAGATAAAAAAATATATATTCTATTTCCAAGTTAAATAATAGTAATAAATAACAAAAAATAACGTAAAAGAGAAATTATTTTAGGAAAATATTCCTTGACACTCGTAGACTTTTTTCTTTCACAATAAATTTATGTCGCTGAATTTTTCTAAATTTTTCTTTGTACGACTAACACAATTTTAAATTCTACAATATTTGGAAATTTTAAATTCAATTGAATCGGAATTTTCGAAAAGGAAACGAAGACTCAACTCTAAAAATCGGAAGAGTTATTTTTAGGTAACAAAATTGTTGTCAAAATGTCGCTTTTCAGAGTTGAGCCCTTTTTGAAATTCACAATTCAATTAATTAAAGTTCAATTGCTTTCAATTACGAATATAATAAAAATTTCTTTATTTAGCTAAAAATAAATTTAGAACCAAATAAATTGCTTTACTTGGCTAAAAATAAATTCTGAACCAAATAAATTTCTTTATTTGACTAAAAATAATTTTCGAACCAAGTAATTTTTCTTTATTTGGATAAAAATAAATTTTGAACCAAACAAATTTATTTATTGAGCCAAAAATAAATTTTGAACCAAATAAAATAATTTATTTTGGCTAAAAATAAATTCTGAACCAAATAAATTTCTTTATTTGGCTAAAAATAAATTTTCAACGAAAGAAATTGTTTTATTAGGCTAAAAATGAATTTCGAACCAAATAAAATTTCTTTATTTGGCTAAAAATAAATTCCGAACCAAATAAATTTCTTATTTGTCTAAAAATAAATTTTGATCTAAATTAAAATTCTTTATTTGGCTAAAAATCAATTTAAAACCAAATAAATTGTTTTCTTTGGCTAAAAATAAATTCTGAACCAAATAAATTGTGTTATTTGGCCAAAAATAAGTTTTGAACCAAATAAATTTCTTTACTGGGTCAAAAAGAAATTTTCAACCAAAATTTGGCTAAAAATAAATTTTCAACCAAGTAAATTAATTTTTTTGGCTAAAAATAAATTTTGAACCAAATAGAAAAATTTATTAGGCTAAAAATAAAATCTAAACCAAATAAATTTTCCAATTTGGTTAAAAATAAATTTTCAACGCACAAAGCGAAAGTAACAATACAATTTGAGAGAATCAATAATTACAAAAAGTAAATTAAAAATAAACGCCAGTGAAACAGATACGATTGCGCCGTCTTTTTCTTTTTTTAATAAGTCAAACATTGATTATCAGTTTGATGATAAAGAACTTCTGAGATCGACTATATAGAAAAAAGAAGTTCAGAGTTGATCAATAATATACGAAATGTCTCAATAAATATGACGCTACTTTCTTTCTTTTTTTTCGAGTTCATTTTTTTTTGTCTCCCAAGACAAAACGCTTTTTTTCTTTTACACCTTTTTTTTTGTCAAGTCTCGCAATAGAGATGCATGTTGATCAGAGTTCAATTGTCCAACGCCGAGGCGCCGACGACCGGGAAAGTTAGCAAGTTGTACAGTGGACTTCTTATTTGCGAATTTGCATTCCCTACTATACAACCTACTACCTCACCCAGGCATCGCCGCTAGATTCTTTTAAGCTTCTCTTCAAAACAAATTTTTTTTTCTTTCTTCATTTCCATTCACTTTTTTTCTATTGTATATATTTTAAAATTTTGATAAAAATTAATATTCTTGTCTATCGCATAATTCGTTGCCTTAGGTTCTAAAATACGTTGTTCAAAATATTACAAAAATACAAAATAGAACAAAAGTAGAATAATTTTTCTGCGGATATCAAATTGAGACAAAAAACGAATCGAAAATATTGCTTCGCGACACTTTCAATTCTTTTTTTTTTGTCTTAATTTGATATCCGCAGAAAAATTGTGAGAAAATAGTACAAAAATATAAATTAAAAAAAACGTAGAAAATAGTACAAAAATACAAAATAGAACAAAAGTACAAAATAGTTCGAAAATACAAAATAGTTAAAAAATACGAAATAGAACAAAAGTATACAGAATAATTTACAAAAAGTGTAAATTTCATTTTGAATGATTAAAAAATCCGATAATGGTTTTAAATAAAAAATTCTAATTACTCTTTTTCTAGAGACGAAATTCGTAGATTTTTTTTAATTCGCTGACAATGTTAAATTCACATACCATTAAATTTTGATAAAACCTAAAAGATATATGTATTTGAAACATGCTGAAGGTAATTTAATACACAACAAAAAAGCAGTAGACAACGATTATTAAGACGGAAGTCATAACGACTTTTGCAGCGTCAACAAAGGAAACAAAAAAAAAAAAAAAATACAAACACTCAGAAATTTTATAAAATACTCTAGCAAAAATGATTTAAAATCGCAAATTCAGGTATCAGCGTTGTCGTCATTTATTATACGCACGCAGGCAACGTGGACTTTTGAAAAATATTTTTTTAATCTCAATTTTTCGATTCATTTTCATTTCTCTTAATTTATTACTATTATTATTTATTACTATTTATAGAATATTAATAATACCTATAATAATATATAAAATAATAATAATAAAAGTAATAGCAAAAATTATTATTTTTCTATTTAATTATTATTGTTTATTATTATCGATTATTATTACTTATTGCTATTTTTTCAGTTTTTACCTAGGGACTATTTACTGTTTATAATAATAATTATTATTGTTATTATTATTTATTACTTCTTATTATTTATTTATTTATTTATTTATTTAGAATTGAATAAAATTTGAAAATATAATATAACGTTAAAAAATTATTTAACGTTCACTTAGTTTTTTTTTAAATGAATTAATTAATTCTAAAGAAAAAAAATATAAATTGTAAGTTTAAAAAATATAAATAACAATCTTTTCTTCTTCGTCGTAACAGGAGATTAAAAAAACACTTTTTTTTACCACTCTCTATATATATACAGTAGCGCAGAAAATAACTTCAGTTGA